TTCAAAACAAGGAAAATTCATTTCCAAGAGATGGGCTTGCAGTAGCACCAACTGGTTTCAAGGCAACTATGTGTGCTTCATTTTACTGACAAGGGGAAGTTTCTGTGATGTCTAACTGGTCCTCATTGTACTGGAATTTGTGATGGTATCAGGAGAACATACCCCCAATTTTGCATCCACATTGAATAAAAATATGTTGCGAGAGAAATATGCATCTAACATGTCACGTTGCATTTGGGCTGCAGTGGAGAGGATAGAAAACCCCAGGAAAATTAGGGAAAGGAATACACACAATTCTATGTTGCAATCACACGTACAGGTCCTATCCAAATATCCTATATTGTTCTCAGCTTCTAACCCTCTGCAGCTTGAGGAAGGGGGATATTTTTGTGTGTGGAAGGAAAGTGTTACCCCCTTTCCCCAAAGTGTCATGAGCCCCATCCAAACCAGCTGCCTCTGTTCCTGCAAAGCGACTTCTAAGCAAATTAAAATATGTCAGGTTATCTGATCACATGTCTCTCACATTGCATCTGGTTTTGCCCTCAACAAACCATTCCAAGGCACAGATAGCTCTGTAGGTAGTACTGCAAGGTGTATCAGAGTGACATTCCTATTTGTGGCAGATGTGCGCCATACATATATGTCATAAAATACATTGCACCACAGAAGCAAGACGAAGGCTGTTTCTGCATGATTCTGGTGAAACATTTCAAGGAACTGCTCGTATGCCCCTCAAGGTATATAAATCTAAATAATAATAATCATAAAATAAATCAGTGTGATGCAATGAGTGGAAATGGAATAGGGTATCCAAAGTGCCCCCTTAACTTGAAAAATCCAAAGTTGTGGCTGAAATGTTTGCAAAAGGCTATTCTAGTTAGTAATTTGCATAATGGCTTAGAGCTGATATGCACCCGCCTGGGCTCTGTTCAAAGAGACTCTGATGGAAACATTTGCTTCTTAAGATATAAAACTAAAGGGCACACATTGGTGTGTGTGTGTGTTCAAAGCTAATTAAACTATATTACTTTATTTTAAAATTACCTGTGTCAAATCAAGCAGGAAAAGCAGCTCTTTCATCCAAAACTCCTCCAAGATTCTCTTTCTACTTTAAATTGGGCTCTTGGCTGAAACAAACATATGCACCTACTGCTCTTCCCTCTACTTTGCCAGCCTTCTGTATAGACTGTAGTGAAAGAGGCTGATGTCATTTTTGCCAGCTGAGCAGAACACAAATTCTCTTTAAACTATTGCCATCTAGTGGACAGTAGTAATGAGTACAGCAGGAATAATTTTGGAGGGACTAGCAAAAAAAGTTTAAGGCCTTTTCTTTTCCTTGAAGAATGTTTGAAGAGATGGGGTTTTGGTTCTGATGTATACCAAATAAGAGCTGACAGTGGCAGCATTTAATATTGCGATACCTTTTATCCAACAGCACAGCTTTATCCTACTAACAAAGACTGAGAACAGGCTAGCATGATGACTAGCTTGTCTTCAGCATAGGACACATTCTATTGAGTCTGATGTGACAAATCTGGTTGGCGCTATCAAGGGAAGCAAAAGAAGAGGCATTTATCAAGTCAACAATAGAAAATTCTTATTTTGGATAGGAGAAGCTTGTTTTCAGTAAGTATCTATGAAGATAGTTATTTTCGATCAAAATAGTCTGGGCTTCCAGGTATTTTTCGAGAACTGTATTTGATAAAGATGGACTTTTAGCATCTGTCAGGGGTTCAGGGACAGAGGCACAGGTGAGGGGGGAGACGGAGAGCGATGGGGAAGAATCTCAGGAGAGTGAGGAAGAGGATGACAATGACTTGAGGTCTTCCATGAGTCTCTCAAGTGAATCGGAGGATTCCCAGAAGGGGGCGCCCCTGGTCAGGCCAAGGGGGGTCACAGGGGGGACTTGCCAGGAGCAGGGAAGCAGCAGGGAAACCCCGAGTGGGAGTGGGAGATCGGGGCCGGCTTCCCAGCAGGAACGGAGTGAAGAGGGGGAGTTCCCAGTGGGACACACGGAGCAGAGCAGGAAGGAGACAGGGAAATGAGATCGGGGCAGGACGTCCTGCCGGAAGGGGCGGAGAGTAGTACAGGGAGTAGTGTGAGTGTCAAGAGGAAGGTCAGGGGTAGCGAACGCGCGCCAAGTTCAAATGTGGAGGCGCGCGGAAATGCAGAGAGCCCGGAGGAGGAGCCTGGTCCCAAAGCACGAAGGAGGGGGGAGCAGGCATCTGAGGAATCCGCTTCAGGGGAAAGCAGGAGGGAAGGAACCCAGGGGGGCAGAAAGACCCTGCGGAAAAGGAAAGACAGAAAGAGGTGGACCAGCACAAGCCTCTTAAACTGGTGTAGGGGCGGGACCGATTCAGAGGGGACTTCAAATGTCTAAGGTTAACAGACGCGGGGCTGCGCGCCTCGGTTGTGGAACCATTAATGAACTGCAATAAACATCCTTGTATATAAGAAGATCTTGGCGTTGGTCTTTTGTGAGCTGAGACCTGAGGCAGCCCCTGACAGCATCATTCTGAGGCTCTTTTTCTTCTTTGGCTTTTCCTAAGGTTTGGTGCTCCCCACCCTTTGCTTAACAGAATAATCAAAGACATTTGTTTCAAGTAATATAATGAGTCAGAACTGAGCAACCTGCTTCTTCTAGGAAATGCAGTCAGGCACAGTCCCATCCGCTGAGTTACAAACACCTCATTCCCACTGAAATGGTAAAGTTGCAGCAGGGCTATACTATTTGTGTGGCTATACCACTTGCATCTCCCTTATGCATAAAACAAAAAAACCCAATTCATTCCTGTACATAGAGAACTAGGTAGGGCTAGAACCCTTTTGCCTTAACATGTCATTATGTAAGGAGAAATCTTTGCGCTGAGGGAATGTTCTCCTTAATGCTACGATGAATACAACCCATAATATTTGTATACATATTTCTCAGACACTTTTCTATACAAGAGTATGCAGAGTTTTAAAAAAATAATCCCCAAATCAGCATAAGTTTACAGATAAAGTAAAATGGTAAAACAACAACACATTGTTAATAGATTGTGCTGCTTGCTAATGGGCAACAGGAAAAATATTTCAGAGGGTTCAGCAAATAACATTAAAGTGCTTTTGTGAAAAACACCGAAGATAAAGGGATGTAAGCGTAGGAAAAGAGATAACGGCTTTGAAAAACAAGGCTTCATTTCCATCTGGAAGCAACAAGGGGAAAAAGCAAGGGCTTTTCTGCCTGCTTGGTCTTTTTGACTTGACTTGTCCTTTGTCACCTCGCATTTTGCTATGACAGGAACTATTCCGAATCTAACTTGGGTTACTTTATTTATAGGTTTTCTATACACAAGCACAAAAGTCCCAAGCGGAAAAGGCAGCCTACCTCCCTCCTCCTGCATGCTTGGCACATGACTGGGTCTGGCGCCCCTTTCCACCATCTCCTATCACAGCGGCGTAACTTCAGCAGAAGGATGCAAAGATATTCTAGTTCCTCACAAGCCTATGAGCATCCTTTCACTGCCCCTTTTATTATTATGGAAGGGTGCCTCTCATACATTAGCTTTCCCCCTTATCTACGTCACATTCCTTCATTTCCTAACCCTTTATTACTGCGGCCACTGTGTATCTGAATGTCATCTGTTTTCTACCTCAGTTTAAGCACCACTGGCCATGGTTAGGAGTAGGACAAGAGGTAAAAAAACAACAAGTCAATTATATTAGTAAAATATAAATAGTGATATTTGTATGTCTGCCTGGTTCCTTAACCAGCTTCGCTTCCTTAGAATTGCTTTAAATAAGAATGTTTACATTGTTACGCTGCCACTTTAAATGAATTAGCAAATACAACATAGGATTCCTTTAGTAATCGTGTGAGCTTGGTCCTACCTGTATTCAAACCCAAAGCTAATTTTCCCAATGCCACTCTTCCTCAGTTAATGCTCATCAACTGAGCACACTTGCAGTCTTCAGTCACATCCATGAACACTTCCCTGTTGAGTCCCTCAAGTTTTTTTCAGGATTTCTGCAGCCTTCCCCCGCCCCCCTGCCCAGAAACTCTTGTTACCTCAGTTTCTCCATAATGCTGCTGATTCTTGGGGGCAGAACTCTCCTGAATGCTGCCTCTCTTCCCCGCCATTCTTCTTCCACAGCTCTAGCCAGTGATTTCAGCTCTCAGATCCTCTCAGGTTTTACAAGCCACTCCGAGCCTCTCCTTATGTCCCCAGGTGTCCACTGTGTGACTCAACTTCCAGCAGATGAACAACAACCACACACACTTTCCCCTGTATCTTCTTGACCAGATCCCGGCCTTTTATTCTCTCAGAAGGCCCCCTCCTTTCCCCAGCTAATAATTTCAATTTGGGTGGAATTCTGCAGCCTTGCTGGCCTACAGTCAACCAACTAAAATTGATCAAATTCTGATGCCTTGGCTCAAGGACGTGGGCCATATCCCCCAGTTGGACACATTGCAATAACTGCTGCCCAGCCTCCCTGCAGATACATGGCATCTCCCGGTATAAACTCATCATGACAGTTCACAGTTAATCTTCTACATTAAACTATGAATAAATCCATTTATGCCCAAACGAAAACTTTCACCTCAGTTCAGAAGGGGATCTCACAAATACACACCTCTGAAATGCAGAAGCACACCCTTCCCAATTCTGCAATGAATAAACAACTCACAACCATAAAGGAATAGCTAACCTTAGCAGTGGAGTCTATTTTGCTAAGATTCCTCCTCCCCTTCAAAAAATAAAAATAAGAAAAAGTCCAGCCTTTGGCCTCAAGGTGATTGTATTCTCCTGCTGTGGGGTGATGGTGGATGGTTTTAAGGCAACTGCTGTTTTTATCAGCTTCTCAGCAGCTTATTTTGGATTGTTTTTCTGCAATAACCTACAATGTAATAAACCAAGTGTGTAAATATTCCTGGCATCAAAATTGTCAGTATATAAATTGTGCCATATATAAATTGTCCTAATAGTTAGCCTGCAAGAAATAACTCTGAAGCAGTCTATGTTACATCAATATATTTATTGCCTTAGAGGTTGAACTCTTTTGTATACAGAAATCTAAATCAATCAAGCAAAAATAAATAAATAAACTGTACATTCATTTTTAGGTTCGTAGCAGCAATTTCTTCTCAGAAATAAAACAGGAAGACAGATTAAACAGCTTGCATGTTCCTTCCAGTCCGAAGTACTCTGGTGGGTACTTGCAACTAAACCGGGGTTTAGTTCAGAGTATTTTTGTGTGTATTATATGCCATATATCTATCCGTTCTGATCTGTTGAGTTGCAAAGCTAGAGAGCTAATGCCTGACAAAAAGGGTGTGTAATAGGTATTTTTACTGTATTATTTTTTACATTTTACATTATACAAAAAATGCAAACGTTACCCCTTTATTTACAAATGGGAACAGTCTCAGAGGGAAAATAGACACAGAAAGCAAAGGCATAGAAGAATCAAACCCAGTGATTGGGGCTAAAAGTATACCTGCACTACAAATTTAAATCAATTTTGAGCCTGCTATGGTTTTTAAGCAAGGAACCTTGTGAACTGAAGTTCACTTTGAACTATGAAGTCACCAAACTACAGTTCCCAAGGTTCAGTGGGGAGACCAGGCCACTTAAACCAATTTGTAATGTAGTTCAGGTTCACTTATCTAAGCTTTAAACGCTGAAGCCGGGAATGTATCAGTACAGCAGTCAGCTGAAGAAATTCCTAACAATGCCAAGAAAGGTTGGCCAAGTATTTCTGGTTGTTTGTTTCTCAGCCTAAAACTGATCTTACCAAGGAGATGATACTAGGATACAGCTGCACTTTGCTCTGAAGTAGTGAAAATCAAACATAATTGCGAAAGGAGCCTGGAGCGGCTTTCAGGGTCCCCCCCCCTTCTCCTGAGGGAAAGCTTCAATCTTCTGAGAGAAAAGGGAAGAAACAGACTAGCTATGTTTGTACACAACCTGATCAAACTACTTTTCACTCTAAACGAATACAAGTCTGACAGAGTCTCAGGTGTACTAATCCTATTCCTTGTTGTGAAGCTAATAAAGCAGGTATCCAGAAACATGATAAGCCTTTTTCTCTTTCATGACAGGCTTTCACCTCTGACAGCCAAGAGCAATAGCTCTTTTCAGAGACATCTAAAAAGGGCTTGTATACATCAAGAGACAAGTTATTCACATTACTCCTCCACTAAAGTAGGCCTCTGACATCCATTTTGAGGAAGAGCTTCAACAAGGCACTGGTGTATTCCTAGTGCTGAATAGAAATGTAATTCTCTGCATCTTCATCCCCAACAGGAATTCTGGGAAAACAGAATTAAAATATGTTTCTACCACTCCCAGAGTATGCTTTGAGCTGCCTGGAATGAGTAACGAGTTTTGACACATAGCAGTTCTTACTGATGGAAGTGTAAATAGGCACTATTGAACTCATATTGAGACAAAAATTGTCAAAGCAATATAGGAATTATTTTCTCTCTCTGGGTATTTTCTCTCTTTACACAAAAATTCCCCCAATGGCAGCAAGTCTGCAGCAGGAAAAAGTTCGGCTTTGAGACCTCCATTCTGCCTGCCAATAACATAGTTGCAACCTTCAGAGCCACACATACCTGCATTTGCAGGTTTGCCAACTCTTCACAAAAGTTGAAAAGCAAGGGAAAGGCTCAGTACATGTAATTTTCTTGCCGCAGTGATGGAACAAACACCACCTGCCGCACAGTAACTGAGGGTTTAAATACCGAAACCTTTACATGGAAGTCTAAAAAAACAACCACTTTGCATATTTGTGGTAGTGTTCTACAGCTGAACATTTGTCACATCACTGGTATGGAAATGCTACAAACACCTGGGTGACTCACATATGGGTACAGAGTTTTCAAATGTCATACTTGCTAAGTAAAATGTGGCCACACAGACCTTTTTGGTTTTGATACTCCATAACTTGCTGTTTTCTTCTTTTTAAGTTGTTGGATTGAATTGGAGAGTTGTGTGTTTCATATCAATCAGGCAAGAAACTAACAGAAAAATCTGGAAGAGGAAAGCTGATGAAGAATATGAAAACGTCCCCCTTTCCAGACACTCGTGCCTTACTCATCAGGTCTATATAGTGGCTTTGTCTCAAATTTATGAAGTTACTATCTTTGGAGAGCAGGGGCACTTTACGTTTGACAGCTACACTTTGCAACTTTAGAAACCAAGTGCCAAGACAGGAGAGGAATTCTAGTGAGAAACTCAATTTCTTGCCAATAAATAAATAAATAAATAAATCCATCCTGAGTTAATTTGTGAGGTGTGGGAAGAATAGTAAGATAGGCAGATATGCTTCCATAAGTACTACTTATACAAGGCGAATTCCAACTCCAAAACAACAGCTTGGAAATTAAGCTTAGCACCTTTGATCTAGAGGCTTCAAGTAACAATAGAAAACGTGCAAGTCAGTAAGAGTCCAAAGATATTTTTAAGAATTCAAAAGAGAGTCTTGTGAAGTTGACAGTGGATATGGGACCACAGACAAAGTTTGTGAAAAGGATTCTGGAAGACAAAAGCAGCAGCAATTTAAACACTGAAGCATGAGGTAGTAAACTTACAGAGGCAGGCTTATGAAAGCATTTGGCCTTCCAAAGAATATGAATAAAGACCAGTGAAGGGAAAAATCATTCAGGAAAAAACAAAATTTGATGGTCCACAAATTTGTATTTGGGGGGCCTAACCTTGGCGAAGTAGAATGTGAAAGGGCAGGCATCTCAAGAACAGACACATGAGGCCTACCCACCCCCAAAACAGAAAATGTGGGAGATATATATATTTAAAGGGAGAGGTGTCTAGGTGAACTTTTTAAGTTAAAAGAAAACTCTCTGGAGCACAGAGTCAAGAAACTGTACTTTGAGGAGAAAAGAGCCACAGAGGAAGAATCAAGAACAGACACAAAACTCGTTAAATCCAGCCACAAGAATCTCTTAGGATCATTTTTGTGATAGCCTTTGCAGCCAAAGGTGACTGGGAAAAGTCAAACTGGAAAGGGCAAAAGGCAGGCTGCTAAGGGAATTCAGAAACTAGTATTTCATGTCCCTGGGTTTCTTTTTGAAGCAAGGAGGGCGAAAGAGTGAAAAACATGTTTGTGACATGCATTTTAAATTGCAGCATGGCAAAGAATAACCAGAGGGAAAAAATAACATCATCCAAGACATTTTGCATATCCCATTCCCACTCAATGGGGAAGCTACACATCAGGTCAAGAGGTTATGCTAAACATAGCAAATGGCGGGTGAACTCCAAGTTCAGCTCCTTTCCTTTCCTAGCTCTTGTACCTTCCTTTCAGTCTGTCGTCTTGAGCTGTACTAGGTTGACAATAAAATGGCTAATTCCTTGAACCTCACAATACTCAGGGCAGAACTTCACACAGTGGATCATTCCATGCTTCTTTTTCACACAATTTGAAGCAGGCGGGCTGGGGGGCACAACCCTTTCTCCTCATGCTGTTTTCTCCACTGAAGATTGCTTTACTCTCCACTGAGGAAAGCTTTGGGACTCCCCAGGAAAAACAACATGAACAAAAAGAGTTAAGAAGCCCCTCTTCTCCACACTGGCCTTCCTTTTCAAACTGCAGCCTCGGTTTTCAGGGGTGAGCATGACATTCAGAGCTCCTCGAAATTGGGGCCACTTCACCAAATATTTTCTGAAGGGGAATAATTCTCCAGATGATTTGGGAGAGGGCTCATCATTAGCAGCAGAAGATTTTCTTTCTTTCTTTCTTTCTTTCTTTCTTTCTTTCTTTCTTTCTTTCTTTCTACAAAAAGATCCTGTGAATCCCACATGATGCCATGACTCTGCAAATTTCAAGGCACTGAGTGGGGGGGAAATGGTTGCCTCCAAACACAAAAGTTGGAACAATCATCTGCCCTCCCCACCTTGAAACTTAGGAGAGCCTACCCAGCCCATTTTGCAGCCCATAACTGGATAGAGAAATAAGAGGAAAGAAACTGAGCTCCACCCATGAATTTTTTTTTAAGCCTGAAAAAATAATAATCACAAACTACATGCAATTGTCTCAGCGTTACTATCGATGGTGGAAAACGCCAATCATTAGAAGATTGCTAGGCTATTCCTAGAAAATCAGAACTGACTTACAAAATGTAACCTATATGTTTTGAGTTAGGAATCTGTGTTTTTGAGCTTAATAATTCTACAGAGACTTTTAAAATGCCTCCCAATACAATAGTGATTGCATTCCAACACAAGCTATGGCAGCAAAGTCCAGCTATTGGAGTGCTACATACACACACTCACTGTAAACAGAGGGCACTATTATACAGCACCATAAAATCTCTCTTGGCAGACACTTTATATATATGTATTGTTACAACATGTTGCACAGCTTCTTCTGATGATTACTGAATCATAAGGGGGAAAACAGTTAATAATACTGATTTTCTAAATAATCACCATGCATACTTTTCAGTAGTCTTAAAACATGCTTCTCAGGAACAATCAAACTAGCATTAGAGGCATGTCATTCAGAACCTAGAAGCAATCAGGACTACGCTTGCAGGTATCACAAGCAAATTATTCTCTTCAATCACCATCAGGGAAATCAGCCACTTCTATAATGTATAACTGTGCCTAAGCATAAAACACCATCTTCTCTATTTTAAGCAACTTATGTACATCACCTTAAGTCTTTACCGCTGCAACACACAAATGGATGAAATGAACAATTAAAAAAAACCTGGATTGCCATTTCTGGGTTGTTCCAACCCATTTTACAATACATACATTTAGACAAGCTCCAGGTAGAGAAGTTACATAGTTAGCTACATTCACTGTTTGCTGGTGGCACAGGGTGGGTGGGGGGGAAGCAGGGGAAGATGGTTTTAAGAGCATAGGCTGTGTAAATACTGAAGAAAAGGCCAAATACTGCCTTTGATCACAAATGAGTTAGAGAGAAAAGGCATCCCATCAGCAAATAACCACTTGATTCAGTTTCCATTCCCTTTTTGTTCAAGACACAAGCTTGGACACCAGAGGGCACTGTGATTCAACTCTGGAATACCTCCCCTACCCATGCATGCTATTAGGAGGAGGGAGAGATGAGATCCAAACAAGTCCATACCTAAAGCCATTCCTCCTTTTCACACGCTCTGAATTCCATTGCCATTTTTTATAAACGTGCTTTTCTATGATTTCAAATTACTAGCATTCCACAATGAAGTACCAAGGTCAATGGCACACTCTGCTTCTTTTGCAGCCACGTAGCAAAAACAGAGCTACTTTCAGACCACATGGGTTTTTAATATACAGCAATACTTGCCCCACAAATTCTGGAAGTTCCACAGTTCAAGGACTTAGGAGATCTGTCTCTTTGTGAAGACAGCAGCTTACTTGGCCAAATTTTAGTCCAAACAAGCTGGTAGCTGGCTCAAGATGCTCTTGCCTTCTTCCCTTTTAGTCAGAGGAAGAGAAGAAGTTACAAAACAATTCACAAAGTAGCATGCAGCTGCCACCACTCTTCATGCTGCTGGCTGAGTAATGGCAATCAGATCAATGGGCTAGATGAACAAGCAAGACATTCTCCCCCCGAATAAAAATCTGGTTTATGTGCCGTGTGAAAACTTGCTGGTAATCCACTTTGGGCCTCCGCTTTTTCCGTGATCGACCTCTTGTGCTACCTGCACTCGTCCCCTCTGTTTGGGAGATTCTGCCAGACAGCTCAATCTCTTTCCCATAAGTTCGAGGCAGGCTAGAGCTCCGTGTCCTCTCTTTGCTCGAGCGCTTCTTTGCCCCTCGTTCTTCTGACCTCCTCCGACCTGACTCGGACTTCCACCGAAGTGTCCTAGGATCACATGGAAGAGCTGGCAGATCAGCAGCCATCTTTGAAACATCCTTTTTAACCAGGGACTCTTGCAGCTTGAGTCTGTCAAACAGCTACAGGAGGTGGGAGGAAACAAATATGTCATGAAACCTGTCATCTCATTCTGTAATCTGAAAGCATATGGCCCACCACAGAGGGCCAAGCTAGAGAGTGGGTGTTTTTTGCAAGAGGAAAAATACACAGCAATGCTTTTCATGTACAGTACTTTCTGTTGGCTGGATAATACAAATTGTAAGCACTCTAATGCTAAGGAGATTACTTATTTGGCAGTTATGGAGTTATCCAGCTTCCACGTTTTCTGTGTGCATGACTAACGCACCTCACGCATGTACACATAGCAGATTTGGCTTTGTGACAAATGCCACTGCCATGACTTCGTACTGCTCTGTTAAATCCTGGGGCTAAAGCAATAGATCAATCTGATTTGAGCTGTAACCCCTCTGGGACAAGGACTGCATCATTTCAGTCTGTTGAGTGAATAGAGCCTAGTTCATTGCTGGCGTTGAATAAATGTTAAACAGTAAGTGGTACTAGTGGATACATTCTGCTGGATAAATCTGCTGACCACTGGCCATGAAGAGCAATGGCTAATGGAGAACTCACACATGGATGCTCATCATTTTAGGAAGCTGCCCATGTGAAAAGGCTATCAAGGACATAACCACAGACTGAAGTTTCCTCTCCCTTTAACAGTGTTCCCCAAGGAAGCAGGTTGCAAAGCAACAAGTCCTAAGCTATCAAGCACGTGTATACCAGTTGCAAGTAAAAAAAATTACAGTGTCTGCCACCTATAACTGAAGCTTGCAAAACACACCCAGTATCAAATGTTTTAAATTATATTTTGTAGATATTTATAGTTTGCTTTTATTGTGTTCCATATGTTGTAAGCCACCTTGTTAACATTTTATGAAAGAGTGGATTAATGTTGCCAAGTGCGCCAAAAGATAAAGGTTTTGGAAAAAGAAATCTCTACCCTTGGGCCAGCAACTTTATAAGATCTTTACAAGGTAAGGGCTGGAAAGTGGGAACGGGGCCCACTTTTGCTGCTCTATCCATTTACCTAACATTAAGAAATGACCTAGCGCTCCAGCTTAACCTTAAGTCTGTTTTGAAATAAAATACACCCTTAGTACGTGGGAAATTGAGCTTATAGGCTTAAATTTAGTGCACTTGCACCAGCCAACTACAAGGCTGGCCCAAGACATTTTGCTGTCTGAGGCAAAGAACAAGATGGTGTCCCCCCCCCCCCCATCGCATGTACAGAATCCAGGTGGAATGGAAATTAGCAGGCTAGCTTGGGTAGGCCATGGTGTGGCACACACAGCTCTCCCTTCCAACACCTTGCCACCATTCTCTTCTCCTCCATATCTGCTGCCTCACTCTGCCTACTCTGGCAACCTAAAGCAACAAGACAGGCCAATAGTTTGATTACAACACTTTATATAGCTACAAAATTGTATCTTCATTCAGAGTCAAGTGGCATACAATATATACAAGGTAACACCAACTAATGTCTTCAGAGAATTTCCCAAAGCAGGGGATTTTTTCAATGGTGTATCAAACCGAGAACGATTCAAGCTTGAGGCAACATGCCTTCCAAAATAAGTATCAAGTCCCAACCACAGCACGGATGCGCCTGGTTATATCCACGACTGATTCATATATTTAGCAGTGAACACGCTGAAAGAAGTTGATGCTCCAGAGGCAGTAGAAGGACAGTCCTTCCTGGATAACCGACTGTTTCAAACTTTCTTCCTCAGCAAATAAGAGGTCCAAGAGGGTACATAGGTTACAATGGTCCACTTTCACTATTAATTAGTGACTCTGAATGAAGATAGAATTTAGTAGCTAAATGAAGTGTAATCAAATTATTAGCCTGCCGTGTTGCTTTTAGGTTGCCAGATTTTTCTGTTCGCAACACGGGAGATTTTTGCTGTCACTCTGCCTAATGGCAGGGCTGGCCCAGAACAACAGACCAGCGGGAGAACGGCTACTTACCCTGGTGAGAGTCAACTGTGGCTCTACATAGAAAGCTTTACCCAGCACAGGTTTTCGATACGTCTCATCTACGTCTGTCAGGGCCTAGGGCAAGGGAAGCAGAAAGAAAACATCAAGGCAGGCTGTGGCTGTACATGTAATGTAACTTGTAATGTAAATTTTTGTAATGTAACTTTTGGGGCCAGGGTGCAGAGAATTAGGAATTAGCATTATCCAGTTTACACATTACTCCAATAATTTAATCCTTTCCAGGTTGTTCTTTTTTATAAAGACACTGCTTACTATTATATTTTTTTAGAAGAAAAACGGAAGAAAGCACAAATTTAAACAGGATACCTGCAGAATTACAATTACAAAATGTTTGCACATTTCTTTTCATCTTCTCCTTAGCCCTTTTCAGAAGTGCTTTGCATGCCTGACTGCCTGCCCAGCCCCTAACATCCCCAGGGGCTCCATGCTTCCAAGTTCCCGGGTTCAGTACAAGAGGAGTCTGTACACATAGACTTCTCCATATGAATGAAAGCCCTATGCACTGGGGCTCCTCCTTTTGAACTTCTGCCAAAGATGAAGAGGTTGGGGGGGGCTGCGTTAGAGGGCACGGCCACTTGCCTCTTGCCCTTCCCTATTCTTCTGAAGGTCTAGTCAGTTTGGTTAGGATTCTGCCCTGGTGATGCAAGTAAAACTTTTTCTCTGATTCTGTATCAAGTTTTGTGCTTACGCTTGCAGCTAACACTCTAGACGGGTGGCACATTCAGCTCGTGTCTTAATTCTGACTCGTCAGCTTCCAGTTTGAAGTAAACTAAAAAGCCCTTGCAGAGTTAGCGTAACACGGAAGGAACCTTAACAGAAAGATGACAAAGTGCTGTGCATATGGGAGAGAGGTCAAGAGAATGGCGAGGGGGGTGGACCTTAATGCCAGACGACTTGGGGTTCCAGTGAAACAGATGACTACTAGGGCTTTTGTTGCATATTTTAGGGAGATTTCTGCTTTCACCCATACATTTTCAAAGACATTTTATGCGTGTCTTTCACTTAGCAACCATAACATGTAACAAGAAAGTAAAAGAGGTGGGAAAGATCTTGCGGGGGGGGGAATGGGGGGCATAAAACAAGAGAGAGAAGGAGGAAGGTAAGTGAGAACAATCTAATGCAATTAGCTCAGCTTGTGTTAACCGAAGACAAGACTCTGAAGAAACACTCCCTGGTCAACAGGGTACAAGACTGTTCCACTGATGAAGCCTTGCCTTGAACTGACCAGATAAGAGCCAAGACTCACTTCTACCTGAAAACTAGAGGATCGTCCTTACCCCTTTGCTGAACATGCCATCTGGTTGAAGTAACCCTTTGCCAATTGGTAATTAGCTGTAAGGACGTGGGTGGCGCTGTGGGTAAAACCTCAGCGCCTAGGACTTGCCGATCGCATGGTCGGCGGTTCGAATCCCCGCGGCGGGGTGCGCTCCCGTTGCTCGGTCCCAGCGCCTGCCAACCTAGCAGTTCGAAAGCACCCCCAGGTGCAAGTAGATACATAGGGACCGCTTACTTGCAGGAAGGTAAACGGCGTTTCCGTGTGCGGCTCTGGCTCGCCAGAGTAGCTTTGTCACGCTGGCCACGTGACCCGGAAGTGTCTGCGGACAGCGCTGGCTCCCGGCCTATAGAGTGAGATGAGCGCACAACCCTAGAGTCTGTCAAGACTGGCCTGTACGGGCAGGGGTACCTTTACCTTTTACCTTTAATTAGCTGTAAAATCATAGAAAGGGGGTGACAATCCTTACCATATTCCAGAACTTGTCAAATGCAACCAAGAACCCACTGCAGACTCCACGAAGTCCTTTGAACGTTCGGACGTGGACGTTGACTTTTACACCATCACGCACGCATCGGTGAAGCTCCCCAAGTGGACTGCCTTCGTGAACTAGAATAAATGTAAACTGCCATTACTTTTTACTGAAACAAATGCCATGGAGAATAAAACAAAACCATTCACTGTTTTAACTCAAAGTATTATTGTGAACTCTGCTTAGGGAAAATGTCACAAATTTATACACTCATACCAAGTATCCACTCGGCTGCAATGTCTTAACTAGATTCCTGTACAGCAGGAATAGGAAAGCTTTAGCCCTCCCATTATCCTCAGCCATTAGCCATCCTGGCTGAGTCTGATGGAAGTTGAGAGTCCAACTACATCTGAAGGGTCACAGGTTCCCCATCCTTACTCTAGTCTACAACCTGCTTTGGGGAAGATCTAAGAAACAAACTTGCCCTGTTTGCACCAATACTACTTTTCACTTTTGCCATGATAAAACAAGTTAGTCTTTAAAGTGACATGTCTGAATGCAGTTAAGGAATAACAAATTTAGCTACGCTTTATAACACTACTGAAGGCTTCAGTTTTCTTATGTCATAGTAACAACATACAGTGGTACCTTGGGTTACAAACACTTCGGGTTACAAACTCTGCTAACCCAAAAGTAGTTGCTCTGGGTTGTGAACTCTGCCCCAGGATGAGAACGGAAATTGCGTGCCGGCAGCAGGAGGCCCCATTAGCGAAAGCGCGCCTCAGGTTAAGAACGGTTTCAGGTTACAAACTGACCTCCGAAACGAATTAAGTTCGTAAACTGAGGTACCACTGTATAAGCAAAATTGGTCAACCTCACCTAGCTATTAAGATTTACAACCCACAAAATCCCAGTAAGTAATATAAAGTGGAACTCAGGCTTATTTAAATCAGAACCAGTGTCTGCAAGGTCAGTCTTGTCTTATTCTGAACACCGAGCTCCATGGGCTCAAAGCGGAAGACTTGCAGAAAATGACCAAGGTTTCACAACTCTTGCACATATCAGTTTATTCTTTAGTCCTGTGTGTTTTCGGGAATGCTTATCTGTGGAATATTTTGCTAATAAAGCACTCTGATCCTGTCCTAATGGCACTGAATGGCCTATTCACCCTCTTATCAACCATATCCAGCTGGCATAGTTCCCTAACCCTATCACCACCAAATACAAAGAGATGCTTCTACACTGATGATGATTTCTCCAGAGGAGGAAAAACCCTGTGTTAGATTTGTCTCTGCAGCGCATAACCATTCTGTGAACATCAAAAACTATTATGCTCTGCATGTAGCTATTATTTTTCTGTGGCTTAAAAGCAATGCAGATGCATTGTCAATCATTTGTGCAGTCTAGGAGGCCATAATTACATCCCTAATAGTTCAAAATGGATTTTCTCCCCAATGTAAAGTATGTGTTTAATACCCAAATTCTAAAGGATAATTAAAAGGCTACTGGGGGTTGTCACCATACAACATAAATATTTTTAGTAGATAATCACTGCCTCTGTAACAAAGTGCCAATCATCAGCATGGTTCCAGTGGCTTAATTTATACAAGAAAATGATCTGTACCCCATAGTTTGATGGGCAACTATAAGCACACATAGTAGTCACTTGCCTTAATGGGACTACAAGACAGACAACAAAAATGTATCAGAACATGTTTAAAAGAGCTGCAGTGGCTACTGGTCTATTTCTGGATTCAGTTTAAAATGTTGACTTTTAACCTTTTAACCCCTAAACAGTCTGGGAGTCTGGGACCTGGCCATCTAAATAATGCCATTCTTTAAAATCAGCCTCAAAGGCCCTTCTCCATGGACATCTGCCTTTGGAGGGTAAGTGCCTGGCTACAAGAGGGAAGGTCTTTTCAGTGGTAACACCCAAATTTTGGTCACCCCCGCTAGACAAATATGCAAAAGAATCAGGTCAAGTTCATCCTGCTTTCCACTGGTTTAACAATGCCTGAGACTCTTTTAAATGCCTGTCATTTTAATGGCTTTACCTGGTGTTTTTTATGGCTTTTTTCTGATGCTTTCATAGTTAGCTTAAGTGTGTGTGTGTGTGTGTGTAAGCGGCAGTAAGGTATGAAAAACGCCTTCTAAGTAAAACACACCCACTCAGAGATTCAAATAATCCTAAGCAGAAAGCAAAAAAACATGTTAGTACTACAGTCCTACCTTGGTTTTCGAACAGCTTAGTGCTCGAATGTTCTGGCTCCCGAACACCACAAACCTGGAAGTGACTGTTCCGGTCTGCAAATTAGTTTTGGAAGCCAAACATCCAATGGGGCTTCCATGGGTTTCAACTGAGTACAGAAAGCCACAGCTTGGTTTTCGAATGTTTTCAGAAGTCAAATGGACTTCCGGAACGGATTCCGTTTGAGAACCAAGGTACGAATGTATTCCATGAACTCTTGTGCAAACAATAGGAGTCTGCACACACTGCAGGACCAACATGGTTCAGGGTGTTAAATTACAGCTCAAGAAACATAGGGAGGACACAGGCTGTGATATATAAACACCAAAAAGCCATATAAAAGTCTTAAGAGGAGTTCACACAAACACAATAGCTCCTCTAGATTGTGGATAATTTTTATTGTGCAGCACTCTTCTGCTGTGTCAAGAACAGCCCTCCCATGAGTGGAACAAACTTTCTGCATCTCTGTATCCAAGCCATTCACACATAAGCCAGTGTAGTAACAACGTAGCTTATCTAGCATTCTTTGTCTTGCACACCAAATCTTCTGGATAAGCAAACTATGTAAATGTGAATGCCAAACATGTAAACATAAAAGCCAGATATCCAACAGAGTGGGACAGTACTAATGCCTTATTTATGCTTATAACAAGGCAAAAAACCCTGACTATGATGACGCTGACAGCTCTGATTATAGCCTGTTACAAACTGGCATGCATACTGGACTTGTCCTCACAAAATATCAACTCAAAACTAATGTTTCCATTAGTAAGTGAAATTGATCAAGAGAGTGACCCTGAAAGATGGCAAGATTTGAAGCAGGGTTGCTCACTCCATATGCTTAGGGCTACAATTTCCACCATTCCTGATGACTGACCAAGGCTGGAGCTAATGGGAACTGTAGCCTTAAACATCTGGCGGGAACGACGTTGGCTACTCCTGGATTTAGGATCTTTACAAATATTACAGTCCTTTTGGGATATAAACAGTATCAGTTTCCCTGCTCCAGCAATCCCCATCCAGGCGCTAAGGTTAGGATCACTTTACAGCATGGAGCTAGGTCATAGGATTGCAGATCTTCACTCCATATCCCTTATGGCTCCTACCACTACTCACAGCATGACGACTGAGCCCCAAGCAACAATGGCTTCTAAACTTTATGTGCCAGGGAATAATAACTCACCATAGGAAGACCCTTTCTGGCACTATCGCTTTCTGGTTCTCCCGCTCTATCTATGTGCTGTAAAGACTTTTGGGGAGCTGAAGAATCAGCATAATCTCTTCTCTATCTTAACAGCTAAACAGCGATATTTTTATGCATGGGAGAGACCACACTATTATTTGGGTTCTTCAATCATTCTTTGGTCTTTCACAAAAGCAGAGAAAATAATTGTTATTCAAGGCTTAAAAACAAGAAAGGAATTTAAGATCTCTTCCCATGCAGATTATGTAGCTTTATCAGTCTTGGAGCCTGTGAAGTTTCAGAGTTTTATTAAGGTTTATTAACTCTGTAATGCTTCCAGCTACAGAATCAATGAATCCAAATCAGACTTTTTGCAGCTTAACGAAGGATCAGAAAGAGGCTGAGTACAAGAATTCTGTGATATTCTATAGTCTGAGTTTAAGAAGCTACAACTAATCTTGGTACTTTCTTGGTAAATCCTTTTTTTAATTAGTAATCAACTGATTACTGGGTTTTTTTTATCAGTAATCAACAAAATTAAATATGATTTTCAGAAAAGGGGCACATGTATTTTCTGGCCCGGAAGGATTGCCTCTACCAAACAACCTATATGTATCTATCGCCAATCATACTGGAGAAAACAAAAGCAAAATAAAGAAGTAACACGTCCTTTAAATAGCATGGCTAGATCCATGGGCATCAATGAGTTAAGTCTGCATAAAATAAGCTCTGCATGGATAGCAATTCAGTGACCCAATAGTAGATTGCTGTAACATAAACTGGCATAAACACTACAGGTAAACTTGTACGTTGAAAAGCTTGGGCAGATGCTCCACTCAAACAACTATAGAAGGTCAGTATTTTGTCAGGATAACGCCAATGTAGACAGCATGTGGTCAATGCTGCTGCCCATGGTTATATATGCTCAGTTTATTATTTACTTGTTGGATATGGAAACAGAACACATATTTGTTCCTAAAACCATCTACTTTAAAAGCAAGTGGCTAGCAATCCAAAGTCAGTTAGGAAAAGATTAGAGGTTTTATGGTACAACAACATCTGGGCCACATACCAAGTCAGCATGTAAGAAAACCTTAAAGACAATGGAAATTTGTAATTTAAGGCCAAACTACATTAGACTGTTGTAAAGTGTCTTTGGGGGGTGGGTGGAATAGGCTGTATGCCTGAGACAGGATAAAATAACAACTTGAAAAAAAACTCCTCTCTCCTCTTTTTGTTCACAAAGTCTCTCTGCTGGAACAACAAGCCTTCTGTGTGTGGAGGAACACAACTGCATACAACCCTATATACTGCTTTTTGGCCCTAAGGTTCCCAAAGCAGTGAACATAGTTATCACTTTACATTTGGTTAGGAATCACCATCTATTTGCAATTTAAGTGCAATTTACTAGCCAACCTTTTCAACTCTTTAGCCTGAAAAATGGAAACTCATCGCATCAATAACAAACAACACTGTACTTGTTCAATTAAGACTTGAGATCTAATTACTGTATTAAAATGCATGTAAACTTTATTTCTGACAGTCTTCTGGCTCTCAGTACGGGTATTCCAAACCATAATGGAAATCACGATCCCACTGAAATAAGTGGGAGTTTTGCAAAAGGATTTCGTGCATAATCTCAGAACAATCATCATCACACTTCAAGCTGTGATTCACTTGCCTATCATCATGTTATCACAAGTCGCTGCACTATATTTATAACCCTAGGACGGATAGTTAAGAACCTAGATTATAACAATGTAAAGGACATACCGTTGTTATAACTAGCGGGACATATCGTTGTTTTATCTAGGACAGTGGCATTTTTCAGAAGCAAAAGAGCCTTTTCTCAAAGGCTAGTCTCTCCTTGAATCGATACTGTCAGTAGAAAATAAGCAAGAGGAGTGAGGGATAAAAGTGACCTCAACAGACCCCCTGTCTGCCACCAAATGCAGGGCTTCTGCTTTGTATTATACATGTCAAGCCACAGAATGTGGAAAAAAACCATGTGTTTGATATGGGGGCACAGCAAGCTGCAGAAAGTACCTGACTGGTTACATCTCCCAGCAGGAGACTTGTGTCTTCACTTCATGCTGTCTCTGAGCTGAGGCCCTTAGGATGCAATCACTCTTGCTTTGCAACTGAACAGAGTACCTGACCTTTGATGTCTAAATCAATCTGTCCAGTAGGCAACCTTCTGGGGGCCACATGCCAGCAGTAGGTGGGGCCAGAAGCAAAAGTGGGTGGAGCAATGAATCTGAATATTACCTCTGTGGTACACAACACACCCTTCTCTCTCTTACACCCAGGCAAGCAGGAGGCATTATAGAAGTTCAACGACACAGCCAAACCAATGAAAAACATCCAAGGAGGATGTGAAGCAGAGCTATTGAGAGGGTGTATCTGAGGAGAGCCCAGAGGGCCTGGCAGAAAGGTCTAGAGGGCCGTATAGGCCCCTGGACCTGAGCTTTCCATCCCTGCTCTGACCAGTACCAGGCCTAATATCCACCATGGACAACATCCCTAAGGCAATACACCTCAACATTTCATGCATCCCAATACCCTTAGCAACTGTTCTTGCCCCAAGGCCGTGGAAAGTTCTCTCACCCTTGTTACTCAACAATACGGTTATGCAGACACGTATTTCAAAATGTTCCTTGCATGTTGTTACTCAACCTGAGGGAATATACTGAACTAAATGTCCACACGTCCAGTTATGAACAACATTTATGACCCATTTTCAATCAGCCTAATGTCAATTACATTTAAGCCAGCATGGTGTGGTGGTTACACTGTTTGAGGGGATCCAGGTTCTTATTCCCCTTCAGCCATGAGGCTCCCTGCATGACCTTGGCCCAGTTAGTCACTATCTCTCAGAGTTGTTTCAAGAATAAAATAGGGAGTACAGCCACATGCACCATCTTGTGATCCTCAGAGGAAAGGCAGGATATATATGTAGTATATGAGCAAGTAAATTCCACATCAGACCAAGAGGTCATATTTCCTTACACCAATAATCTTAACGTGTTTTTACACCTTAATGTCTTATCAAAGCACCTACCTTCCCACACACTGCAGAGCTTCTCCAGAACTCCCTCTTTATTCAGTTCTCCCTCTTGCCCACACACATGATCTCTTGCCTCAAAATAGATCATATTTTTATCACTCCAAACACTTCACCCCCTCTCTACAGCCTACACACACCCAAATCAAGAAAACACATTCTTGCCACAATGAAGCCACAAACTTTCTTCTATTTTTTTGGGGGCCATGCTTTCAGCTCTTAATTATCTATGGTCTCATACAGATGGAGTTTTAATCGTGCCTTTTGAAAATAGCAATGTCTTTTAGATCCCCCCCCCCTTTTTGGCCAGTTTCAATGCAGGTGGTCTTTCATATATTGCAGGTCGTTTTGAGTTACTCTGCCTAAAAAAGCAACCAATGAATTTAATAAGAAAATAATCACAACAACAACAAATACCCAGCCAGAACTCCAGAATGCACATGTGTTTTAAAACGTATGTTTCACAACACCAAATGGTGTCTTTTTAAACACTGCAATAGCAGCACAGGCTAGTGCCAACAAACACTTAAAGAAATCAGCCTGCTATGCAGATTTTTATTTCTGCGGTTTTGCCTGTATGTACACAGTGCCGTGTGCCAAGACCATGCAACACGTACACACGTGGGTCTAAGCCAAGCCAACACATGGGGGACGTGGTGCACAGTGCACATCCATAAAACTGTGAAATGCTACCAGCCAGTGGCCCATTTTCAACGTCGAGGCTCCATCCCCGGAATGCCTTTTCCAGTCATAAGAAAGGGCTGCCTCTGAGCATACGCAGAGTGCATTTCCCTCCCTTGCCGACCAGCGACTTATAGAAGTTCACAGCATATACTCCTCTTCAGAAACAAGCCAGCCCAGCTCTCCTTACCGGGCATCCTGGTGAGCACGTTGCGAGGCGCCCTCCTGCCCCGCTGCTGCCTGGCCCGCTCGGCCTCTTCTCGCTCGGGCTCCTTGGCCACCATGAGGCTGCGGAGACGCTGGATGCGCTCGGGGTCGGCGGGGGCCCGGGAGCCTCGGCTCCGGGCGCGGGTCCCCGCTGGGCGGCTGCCGCGGCCGGCGGCCCCTCGCTGACGTCCCGGAGCGCGGAGCAGGCCGCGCTGGAAGCTCTCGTATTCGGCCAGGTTGTTGAAGTGCGGCGCGGCCGGGTAAGGCAGCGGCGTGCGCTCCGAGTAGAGCGCCAGCAACGGGTCGAAGCGCGGCGAACTCACGTCCAGGCGCCCGGGGCTGGGCGAGCGCTCCGAGCTGCTGCGGCCGCCCGAGCGGCGGCGGCGGCGGCGCCTGGGCCCTGCGCCGGCCTCCTCCGCCTCCTCCATGACTCCCTGGCCCTGCAGGGAAGTGATCCGCCCGCAGCTCCTCGCTCTCGCCGCTAAGGGCCGCCCCAGCACCGCAGGCGTCTTCCCGCCTTTCTTAGCGCTGCTCGGCGCTCTCGGAAGACAGCCAGGAGCGAGATTCCCAGCACCTGCGCTGCGGCTGGCGACTGCCTTTGGGCTTTTCACCCATCGGCTGCCCTAGGAAGTCGTAGCTGCAGCCGGTTGCCGCTTGTCCCCCACCGCGCTGGCCGACGCAGGCAACATTATTCCCTCGCTTCTCGCTCCTTACTCGGCGTTAGTTAATCCGAAATAACGCCCGACACCCCATCGCGCGTTTAATACTTCCTGCAGTGTCCATGATTCCAGTAGAAAAGCTGCATTGGCTGGCCGGATTTGCACGGTTCTCTCTGCAGATCTTCCTCAGAAGTGGCGTTTAATGCCTATGCAATAATATATGGCAAGTCTTACGTTGTGCGAAAAAAAATTGCGCTAACGTTTCTTAGAATCCGCAGTGAGCCCAAGTGAAGTGCCCAGAAGCGGAAAATCGCACTTCGACGGCGTTGCTGCTCAAGAGTAGCAGGATTTCAAGGTGGCGCCTAACCAAGTTCATATGAAATAATCTTAAATACGAGCTGCTACAGCATACTCTTTTGTCGCTTATAGCAACCATTCTATTTGCAGAGGTGGAAAACAATGGGACCTCTTCTATATAATTCATAGTCAAGAGATTGACAAAATTCAGGGAGCCATCTGGCACACCCACGCCTGGCATTTAAAAGTGTATATGGTATGTTAAGAATAGCAGGTATTTAACACCTACGTTTTCTATTTTTAAATCATTATTTCATTTCATTTTTTAAATAAAAGGGTCGATTCATATATTGAAGGATATCAACTGGAGGTACGGGGTTGGGGGTTGGGGGTGGGCATCACCTTGTTGAAGCTAAGCAGACCCTCAGGGAATCAAACATACACCACCCTGAGTTCCGTGATGTAAGAAAGGTGGCATATAAAACTAAGAAAAGGAAATAAAATACTTGCACTGGTCAAGGATCCTGTGTGATCAGCAGGTCATGAGCCCCAATACCACACTGAAACCTCAGCCAGTATTTCGTTTATTTTTATGACAACTTTGCTATGTTTGTAATTATGTAAATCTTTTCATATTGTAAGCTGCCTTGAGCATTGTTTCAACTGTGGAAAGGCAGCATACAAATAAAATGATGATTGGTTGGTTGGACACAAGATGAATGGTGGGAGGATCCAGCTGGGCAACCACCAAGGGAGGAAGGGTCAGAACTCAGGCAGTGGTGGTGGGATAGTAAGTGGTCATGGAGGAGGAGAAACTAGGAAGATGAGGAGTCAGAAGCTGATGGGGTAACAGAGCTCAGTGAGCTGGGAGAGTCTGGCAGAGAGAAGTCAAGAATCAGAGGCAGAAGCTGAAGCAGGCAAGTGGGAGGAGGGAGGTCAAGAGGCAGAGGTGAGTCAGGCTAGTGAAGAGTCACAGGTGTCTCTCCCTCCTGATGCAGCAAGCTCCATCCACCCTTACTACCAGAACCAGGAGAGGGATAAAACGGGTGGAGCACGCAGAAACAGTCTCCGATTGCTTGCAAGAAGCCAGAGAGGAAGAGACAGACAGCTGTGGAGAGATGGGGATTTTTATTCTCAGCAACTGATTCAGGGCATGAGCTGCTGTGCTCATTAGGCCTGAAACCCAGCCAGGTCTATGAAAATCTTATTTCTCTAGTAAAGAGTTAACTCCAGTGTTGAACTGTGATTTATTGATGGGCGTGCTTCGTGACAGCCAGACATTTGTTGATTGATTTGGAGCAGAGAGAGCATACTACAGGATTGTGGAAGTACTTTGTGTTTTACTAGTACCCTGCAATCAACCAAATGGGGTACAGTACAAAATATATACATTAGAATTAAAGGACAGGTTGCCTCTGCATAGCTACTGAGTACAGTAGGAGCATCAGAACTCAGCTGAGCTTCAGCTCCTTCATTTAAATCTGTTCCTGAGTACTTCAAGCTCTCTTCATTTCAGCTTTCTAAATTAGTGATTTAGGGGAAGGTTATTGTTGTATACATTAATTGGGAGTTGGACTTCCTTGATCAAACCACCCTGATACTCTGCCCACCCATCATGGAGAGAAAGTAGAACATGGAAGCCTTGAAGTCAAAGATCTATTTACATGTTTGCGAGGATATTTGTATGTATGATAGGTAGCAGAGTGCACCAGTGATAGAGAATTTACTTATATGATTCCTGAACTATACAAGAGAATTATTCCATAAATCAATGCAAAATTTCATTAACATTACAGCAATAATTTAAACACATATTGCTTGGAAGGTTGTTTTTCTTAATGATTAACCTAACTATAGCAATGAAGATGTCCACCATTTTAGATAAATTGGTTGATTATTGTTATCTCTTTTTCAAAGAGGCTTTAAGGGACCTGGTCTTCTTTAAAAGATAATGCAGGAAAGGCAGAGAATGAGGAATGGAATGACATTAACAAAATATTCCACATAAAACCCTTTTGTCATTATCTCCCAGCATGTATCATTCCAGTCTCTGCATAGTCAGAGAAAGTATCACATACACTCCAACTCCCCCCCACCCACCTCGGAACAGGTCTTATTACTTCACAGGTCCGGAACAAAGATTGCAGATGCGCAACACAAACTTTTTTTTGAAGAGTAACGAACTTCCAGTAAGTTGATTGCCACAATCCTCAACAGCAGGAACTGGATAGTTTCCCAGGCAGCAGAAAATTGAGAGCATGACCTACAAACATATCCTGTTGTGATGCCCCCCCTTATTCAATAAGTTTATTATTCCAGTTTGGTCACCCGAGACCTTCTCTAATAATCAGTAAAGCAGCAAGGAGAGAGTCCAAACAATAAATGTATGATTACGGAGGGAAATTATGTTTCCATAGCTTTCAAAAAAGCCATAACTAATTTACACTTGAGGGAAGACTTCCTAATTAGTTTCAGCCATTTGCTAGGGTATTTTGTTTATCACTCATATAATCCAGAGACATTAGCAACTAGGATAATTTGTAACTTGGCTCCCTGATGATAGAACTTAATTTGAAGCAGGAGTTTAAATGTTATCAGTTTTAAATGGGCAGCTCAAAATCTCATGGGACTTGTACCAGTAGAGTGCCTTTGAGGGCCATAGCCTAAATTAAAGGCATTCCTTTTCAAGTAAAAAGTTTATCAACCTGACAATGATATTATTGTAAGGCACCTCAAAATTTTGATGGGAAAACATACACATCTATGAAACTATAAAAATGAATACAAGCACTACATGGCTTCTTAAGTGCACCACACAAGTTTACTGAAATATCCATCCTGGGCCAGTCACCTATCCGTCTCCCATGGTCCTTGCAGGAGTAAACTGTATGGAGTATTTCACACCAACATCCAGATGGCAAATGTCAGCTATCATCAGCTAGGATTTCAGGATACTGGTCCCAAAACTGATCCCCAATGATATCACAGTGCAAAGCAACTACTGTAGTCCTTGGCCGGGTCACTTCAACTTCCTTCTCTTCTGTTTCCTCTGGAATTTTAATTTTCTTTTTAATGGCTTGATTTACCTATAAAAACAGGTGACAGATTAATGTAGAATCGCAGAACTGAAGTAGGCTAGAAGGCAATTCCAGTTTCATTTCTTTTTTAACTATAATATGAGACAACTCTCAAATTAGAATCATCACTAGTAAAGTTCTGGTCTTTCAGTGGCAGATGTGCTCCTATTGAACCTTCACTACTTAAAATTTGAGGAGTGAAGTTACCAGAGGAATTATCCTTTTCACTGAAGACCAGAACATTTCTAGCCTTAAGTCTTAAACAGTGGTAATGTTATAAAAGCAGACACACCTGTAAAATCAGCACACATATGACTGTCAAAAACCACTTACCTCCCAAGTAAGTATTTTGTATAACAGTTTGTATAATGCATTACACACAAATAGGTATCTCTCAAAATTATATTACCTTTTGCCACAGTAGAACAGTTCCTTTTCTATACAACAATGATTCATTATTGTAGTTAATGTTGAACTGAGAAAATAAAATCTCATTCTTGTCACTGGCAACTGTTCCCTAAGGATAAAGAGAATTTTTTTCTTATAAAAACACCACCACAAAAGGCATATGAAAACACTGACTTCTCTCCATCTAGATCTGAGCACTGTATTTTGAGACAGGATGGAGTATACACAACCCACCACTCCCCTTTTCTGCTTGCATTTAAACAAACATTTGTTCCACCTGGTTTTTAAACTTTGACAAGTGTTATATTCATACTAATATGGAGATAGGAAGATAAAGCTATTGGATATAGTTAAAAGAAAGATCTAACCCAGGGGTCAGCAACCTTTTTCAGCCGTGGGTCGGTCCACTGTCCCTCAGACCATGTGGTGAGCCGAATTATATTTGTGGGGGTGGGGGAATGAACAAATTCCTATGCTCCACCAATAACCCAGAGATGCTTTTTAAATAAAATGACACATTCTACTCATGTAAAAACACACTGATTCCCGGACTGTCTGCGGGCCGGATTGAGAAGACGATTGGGCCGCATCCAGCCCCCAGGTAATCTATTCACTCTCTTTCTCTCTCTCTCTCTCTCTCTCTCTCTCTCTCTCTCTCTCACACACACACACACACACACCCTTGCACTATAACTGTATCACTTACAAACCCCTTCAACCTCATCCAGACTCCCAATTCTCATTGCCCATAACATTTGTGTAATTTGAATGCCTGCACATGATGCTGGCATTAAAACCTCAAGCATGAGTGAACATACTACTTAGCATAATCTTGAAAGAAGACTTTCATACCTGTAGTCGCTTTTGGGCTTGTACAGGTGTCAATCCACCTCTCTGCACAAGAGTCCAAAATACTGTATTGTAGAGATTATTTATGTGGCCTGCAGGAATGAAATAACAAACATCAGACTACCTTGGGAAGCACATTGAACAAGCTTTCTGCCACAGCAGTAGTTACTGAAGGACTTGTATACTATTAAAAAGGTACAGGTACCCCTGCCCGTACGGGCCAGTCGTGTCCGACTCTAGGGTTGTGTGCCCATCTCACTTAAGAGGCCGGGGGCCAGCGCTGCCCGGAGACACTTCCGGGTCACGTGGCCAGCGTGACGAAGCTGCTCTGGCGAGCCAGCACCAGCGCAGCACACGGAAACGCCGTTTACCTTCCCGCTAGTAAGCGGTACCTATTTATCTACTTGCACTTGGGGGTGCTTTCGAACTGCTAGGTGGGCAGGAGCTGGGACCAAAAGACGGGAGCTCACCCCACCGCGGGGATTCGAACCGCCGACTGTGCGATCGGCAAGTCCTAGGCACTGAGGTTTTACCCACAGCGCCACCCGCGTCCCTGTTTGTATACTATACTATTATATGAATATAAAAAAATTCCTTGCAGTAGCACCTTAGAGACCAACTAAGTTTGTCATTGGTATGAGCGTTTGTGTGCATGCACACTACGGCAGACCAACACGGCTACCTACCTGTAACTATTATATGAATATGATATTGTAAAAATAGTAGTATGTCTTTTTATCTAAGTCCAGTATTTTGGTTCAGTATTTATCAGTGTTTTATATATTATTATCCTACCAACAGTTCCTGTGACATGTTTTTAAAATAGATAAAATTTCCTGCTATGCAGTTTTTTTTGTCACATCAAACATGAGGGTTTCTGTAGACCATCCAGCCAATCTAAAACTACTGCTATCCATCTCATGGAAACACTGCTCAGTCAGGTAGCCAGATAATTGGTGGGGGGAGGTGGGGTGGAAGAAAACATGCAAGTAAATTGCTGTGTGCAGTGAAGGGAGAACAACAACAACATGGGTTGCTGTGAATGTCCATCTTATTTGTCATGCCTTTTACATTCATTGACTAGACTTCTGAAGGCAGCAGCAGGGTTCACATCTTACTACACAATTGAATATAACACTGTTTGCATTTCTCATGCTGCCATTGGGATGCTGGGGGGAAAGACAAGAAAGCAATGCCTCTCCCATTGTGGCATAAAATTGGATCCTCCCCAAGGTTTTAACTTTTTCCATATGTGTAAGAACTAAAGTCTTGGAATATCCCAGCTGAAGGATAACTCTCTGTAACTACAGGCAATATTGACCAATAATCATAAACCCATGCAAACAAACAAACACAAAAACCTGATGGTGGAGGTTTCTCATGTGTGTAAGAGATGCTTACAATCAGCTTGTCGCCAACTAAGATAGTCCTTTAAATTCTGGTCACTAGGATATAAGACAACACGCCCATCAAATCCTGGTGGATACAAAAGAGGCTGGTCCTTAAAGTAATCTTTCCAATAGAAAACGTAGCTGGAGGCAAACTGGGAGGCCACATGAGTCATGAACTTACTTGTAAACAGAAAATAAAAAGGAAGTGAAAGTTAATAACATCAGTACTACAACACTGACAAATAAATAAACACTTGAGTACTCTATGTAATGCAAAAATGCATGTGACTCAATGGCCCTGTTCCTGCATCATCAAAAGTCATGGCTAATACTTTACCATGATATGCCCAAGAGACCACCTTCATTCTTCCCTGCTTGTGCACAAAGGAAACAAAACACAATCCCTGGCTAAGCATTACATCCAACCCATGGATCATGGCTTGTTCTCTTCTGACAAACCATAACCGGTAAGCCAAAAATAAACCTTGGCTATACTTCAGTTTGCTTGGGAATAAAAGAAACCTTTATCCCTGGTTCAGATACAAAACCTAAAACACAGAAATCATGGTTTGTTTCCTCCCAGCACAAGCAGGAAGGAGTGAAACAGACTAAAAGGCACATTTACCGTAAACCATTAATGGCTGAATGTTTCAGAGTTTTCCAAATCTGTATGATTCACTCCTACATTTTCCAAGTCCAGGAGGTTGAGAGCATCGCATGCATATGAAAACTGGCTAACAGAAAATGAATTTGGCCATTTGCAGGCTGAACTATCATACATAATAGTGCTCAGTCAACTCTCAGGACTGGATGGCTGATTGCATCAATGAGTTCATGACATAGAATGAAAGCCGCAGTATACTGTCATTCTTAAAGCATATCATATGCTAATAACAGCAGCTGATTATCACCTACTAAGCCAAATGGAAAGACTAAACCAATTAAAATGTGCAAATTGAAGCTTATCTGTATACATTCCTTGTTACTTGCTCTCCTACCTCGTGAACTGAATTCACCACCAAAACCCCTTCCACCTCCCAGTTTGGTTGCATTTCTTTTGTTTTCTGCAATTATTACTGCATGAACATGAAAGGAGGCCATTACCAAATCTATGAAAAGCAACACATGTTGCATGCATACAACAGCTGTCAAATTTTTATATTATTTCAGATGAAAATGAATTTTAAGCAAAATAAATAGTACACCACTTGCCTTTACACAGCACCTATTAAAAAGCTGCCAATTTCTACCAAATCAGAATTGTTATGAGTTATTGTCTGTATAGCCAGACACAAGAACTGAGCATAAAGTAAAGGTAAAGGTACCCCTGCCCGTACGGGCCAGTCTTGACAGACTGGGGTTGTGCGCTCATCACACTCTATAAGCCGGGAGCCAGCGCTGTCCGCAGACACTTCCGGGTCACGTGGCCAGCATGACGAAGCTGCTCTGGCAAGCCAGAGCCGCACACGGAAACGCCGTTTACCTTCCCGATAGTAAGCGGTCCCTATTTATCTACTTGCACCCGGGGGTGCTTTCGAACTGCTAGGTTGGCAGGCGCTGGGACCGAGCAACGGGAGCGCACCCCGCCGCGGGGATTTGAACCGCCGACCATGCGATCGGCAAGTCCTAGGCGCTGAGGTTTAACCCACAGCGCCACCTGCGTCCCTAAGAACTGAGCATAGTAGGGCTTAAAAGAGCAGTGTTACTAATACTTTAATCAATATAATATTCTAACTATATAATAAAATATAAATAAACTGGTTATATTTAAAACATGTTATATGAAGAGTAGATATGCAAATATTGGGTTGGGATGGGAGGAGAGAGAAGCTCTAAAACCAGTTACCTTGCTCTTCTCTTAAACCAGTTGCTTTTCTTTTTGAAAACAAAGCTATATTCATCACTTTGTCCATAGGCAATGACAATATCCTCTAATTCTTGCATTACTGTCTGTGCAGACTTGTTCATCAAGTTAAGAGCACGATCATCATTAGGCTTCTTAAAACCATGTTGCTCGGCAAAGCTTCAAAAAGGGAAAAATACAAAGAAGTGAAATTTGTCAAAGTTATTAAACTGGTTATTAGCATGTTTTTATTTTTTAATTTTGGACTGGATCCCATATGCATGTTATTGTGTTTTAGTGTTGCAATACTAATTTATAATTTATTAAAAATAGCAGATTTTTGTAACTGCTTCACATTTTTGCCAAATGGAAGGTAAATGTTGTGGGTGAACATATCAGACGACACAGCAAGTCTTCAAACAGCTCTTGTTTATTCACAGGCCACAACAGAACTGAACTAAAGGGTTCAGCCAGCCTGCTTATATTGAGCTACACTACAACGCAACTGTAACCACTTTCTGTAACTATCCAATCACTGAACGTCACTTTCAATCCCTTATTTGCATATGTGGACCTAAGTGAAAACTATCTACAGTATCCCCCTGCTGGCCCAGGGTAAGAACTTCAGTACATAACAGTAAAACTACTTCCACTGAGGCACTACTAAGAATCCTAGCTATAACTCATATAGCTCAGTGTCTTTTTAAGCAGGATGAAAACCTTCCATTCCTCCTTTCCTTATTCAGAAGCAGCAGGACAATTACAGCTTTTCAAATATTCATTACAATACTGATTGTTATCTGGTCTACCAATAGGGGATGACTGGAAGTGAGTTTTGTGAGTTACAAGATGTGAAACAGACAGGTGGATGCAATAAGGGAGGGGTGGCCCACGAACTCCCTGCATATTGTATTCTTTTCAGCACCTGCTGAACACAATCTTTTTCAGACAACCCTACCTAGATGCTTAGGAAGATTGCATGAGTTTTAATTTGTCTTAAGTCTATTCTAACGCAGTTTTAACTTTCTCACCAATATGGGTGGGGTATAAATAAAAAATATTATAATAATCAGTGTTTTAAATTATGGTTGTAAACTTTTTGTGCATCCTTTTATTGCTTTTTTTTTTGTAAAGTGCTCTGATGGGTTTTCCCTACAATCAAGTGGTGTATACATTTTCTGAACTTAGCTTCATAAAATTTATACACCACTTGATTGTGGGGAGTAAAAAAACGTGCTTAAGAGGAAGGCACGTTTGGCAAACCCTCATCGTGGTCAACTCCCGCAGGGAAACCTACGCCCCCCCCCCCTGTGGAAGGACGTGTGGATCCAGAATTTTTACGAAATAAACAGATGCGAACAACGGAGAAATCCTCCCAAACCAAAGCTTCCCACAGTGGTCTTCAGATTACGACAAGTGGCCGCCTTGGCTAAGGAGCTGTGTCCAAGGATGCTGCCCCGCCCGCATCCGCCTCTGGGTGGAGCCCTCCCGATACCCAAGGGCAGCCGTTACCCTGAAATCCGACCACCGGCTCCCTATCCTTGCACGATGCCCATAACCTCTCCACCCCTCCCTCCTCCCGCCACCATTGGCTGAGCCGTCGCCAGCGGCAACCAAGCTGCCGCCAATCGCTGAAGCGGGGCTTACCGGTGGAAGCCGCGGCCGTCCAACCGGACCACGACCCAGCAGTTGGGCAAGCACGTGGCCTCGTCTTCGAAACCCCGCACGTATTCGAACTTGCTCTTCGCCATGGCGACGCGGCCGCAGCTCAGCCGCGCGCGCAGACCGAGGGAAGCGGCGGCAGGAAGAACGACACCAAGCCTAGGCAGCGCCAGCATCAGCGGAAGCTGCGTTGCGCGATTCCGGAAGGCTGGCGCGCGCGCGCACACACAAACATTCTCCGCCCCCCCCCCGTCCTCCGCTCTAGCCGCTAGTCTCTATGACACCGCAAGGTCTTTCGGGATTGCAGCTCCCTAACCGCATTAGCCGCCTCTCAGTGCCGGGCGCAAAAAGCCTCGCAGCAGAGGCGACGGGATAAATGCAGAGCGAACCGAAGCTGAAAGCCACGCCCTCCAGTCTCGATACCGCCCATCCTGGATGTGCGTAGGCTGCTGCGGGTCGTTTAATGGGGGCGGGGGAGGAAAAGAGGTCCTCGCGCCGTGTGTGTTATGTGCGCACGCGCCTGCCTTTTCTCAATCTGGTGTCGGGGGACTACAATTCCCATCATTCCTGGCCAAGCCTGCCGGGGCTGATAAGAGTTGTAGTCCCACGACGCCGGGTTGAGGAAAGGCGGGCGAAAGTGCTTAATGGGGATTCTGACAGTGTTGTTTCGGGTCTCCATTAACCCAGTTCCCTCTGCCCGTTGAATCCTCCCTTCCCACCATCAGGTGCAACACGTGTCGCACCGTGCGGGGGTAACCCATCCCGCACTCCTTTTAAGTTTTATCCTCGCCGTGGTCGTCTCCATCCTCCCAACCCCGTAGGGGGGAAATGAGCTGGTGTTTGTCAAGGAAGGAGGCGACGCGCTGAAAGCGCACGGACTGAGGGAAGCGCGCCTCGCGCGGCAGCTGTTGGCGAAAGGGAACGTTGGGGGCGAGGGAGCCGGCGGGGGGCGGGTGCGCGCCGCCGCCAAACGAAGCCCTTTCAAAAAAGCGGGAAAGGCGCGTGGGTTCGTCCCGGGGGTCTCCATGGCGACCTCATTGTTACGCGGCCCCCAGGGTCGCCCTGGCGACACCAGGGAGGGGAAAGTGCGGGAGGCACGTGGATCCAGCCCGGCGGCTCTTGCCATTTTCCCGCCGGTGCCCCGAGGCGGTGCGAGACTCCTGCGAGCCGGAGGGCGGGGTCCGAGCGCGGCGCGCGTGCCCCTGGCGGGAGGGGGAGCCGAGAACGTTTGCGAACCAACCGCAGGAAACAAACGGGCGGTCACAGAGGGCGGAGGCTGAGCTCACAATCCCCGCAACAATCCCTCTCCCCGGGGGGCGGGCTACGGCATGGAAGAAGGGGCGCAGGGGGAAACCCCCCGAGAGCAGCACCGCCTCCTGCACCCCGCGGCTTGGCAGGGCGCTCCCCGGATGGACCACCTTCTCCTGCACCCTCTCTCGGGGCAGGGGGCCAGGGACCCGCACCTCCTGCTCTTCTCCCCCAAACAGGGGCCGCAGCACTCCCTGATGCACCCCCTGCCGCCCGCCAAGCAAAATGCCCTGCGCAGGGAGCAGAAACCTCCGCTGCCTGGGGAAGGGCTTGCCTATAAAGAGCAGCAGCAGCAGCAGCACCTGTTGGAAGACCAGCCCTGCCTTGGCAGGCAGCTCTGCCAGCCTGGCCTCGGGTTGGAACCTGGGGTTTGCGAGAAGCTGGAAGAGGCGGTGGCGGAGGGAAATGGCCAGCAGAAGGTGCTGCAAGTGAAAGCGGAGGAGCGGGAGCAAGAGAACCAACTGCTCCCGACGGGCTGCAGCAACAAGAGAAAGAGAGGGGAGCACAGGGCGGCTGCCAGTCGTCGAGGAGGGAAGGAGGAGGGAAGCAGCGGCGCGAAAGGAGGGGGGGAAGTCAAAGTGGGGAAAGGAGAAGAGCCGGAGGAGATCAAGAAAGAGGTGAAGGTGGAAGAGAATTGTGATGCCAAAGCCTTGGGGTCCGGAAAAGAAGGGGCCATCAAAACGGAACTGGTGGAGCCTCGCGAGGAAGCTTGCAAGGGGAGGGAAGAGGTGGCATCCAAGCCTCGCCCCTCCTCCAACGGCCCAGCTCATGTCCACAAAGATGCTGACTTGGCTCAGCCTCTCGGGACTCAGCATCCTCAAGAACTGAAGATTCCTGTCACGCTCCATGCTGTCCCTCCTGGGGCTAGAATCCAGTTTCAGGGGCCACCTCCATCTGAGCTCATAAGAGTGACTAAAGTGCCAGTGGCACAAGTACCCCTTAAAATGCAGTCCTTGCTGGAGCCTTCAGTGAAAATAGAAACGAAAGATGTGCCTCTCACAGTGCTACCCTCAGATGCAGGTAGTAGATAGGTATAATAGAATTTGCCAAGTTGCCCTTTAGTCGCTATTATGTACAAGTAAACACCGGGATAGAACTGCTCATACACATTAATCTGCACCACTATTATTCCAAACTTTTTTTAAAAAAATATGAAGGGCCAGAAAGAAGATAGGGCTTCACTCAAGTTCATGCAATTAACATGCAACAGCTCACTGTATACTTTACTGGCTGTTGCAACCACCAAAGATTATGAAGATGGTCAATTATGCAAAGTCCCATCTACAACTTTTTAATATTTGCAGGAGCTTTCTGTTGAGGAAGTGTGCCACTGCCCTCTTTAATACATTGTAACCAGGGCACAGAGATTAACTGTGACCCTCAGAAGAAACAACAAAGTGCTTCTTTCATGTGTGGCAGATTAAAGACTAACATTTTTTGTGCCATCAGCATTTATAGACCGGTATCCACTTCATCGCCAGTTTATGCCACAATAAATCTGTTAGGCCTTGTTCTGACCCTCTTCCAAGGAGCCCAGGGCACTGTACAAACATCCACCTTTATTTTCACTACAAAACTGAAGTAGGCTTGGCTGAGACTGTTACCCATAAAGCATTCTTGAGCCTTTGGGCACATTAGGTATTTTGAAGGAGTATTGTTGGCACCAACACCTCTAGTTGCTCCCCCCCCTCCTCCCAGTAGTCGGAAAGAAAGCACACACAGAGATTGTTTGGTTTTTCAAAAGGTTTGGTAAAAGTCAAATCCAGTTGAATTAAAATGAATCCTCTTGAATTTGCATGATTTTATGTGGGGTTCCGCAAAAAGAAACCACACACCACACCCAACCCCACCTTATAGTGGTACACAACACAGTTAAAAAAAGAAAAGGCAGATCCGGTGCTTTCAGGTATCAAAAACATTGATCAAAGCATGGCTACACTTGATCTTTACAAACAATAAAAAACACCCCCAATAAATTACAGAATATGTCTGCAGACACAGGTGACTATGATTTGTGGTTTTGAAGAGATCCCTTGTATTATGAGGATCCAGGAATATCTGTGCCTAAGATCAGTGTCTTTGTGTCATGGCTTCTCTGGAAAGTACCAGATCCATGGTTCAGTCAATTGACACGTGATATATGATGTGATACTGGTTCTGGGAAACACCTGTGAAAAATTCTGCAATTCCAAGGGGATCTGATTTACTGGCTCCAATGTGCACAGGCACATGTGTGCACCTCTTTCCTTATTCCCATGGCAACCTGTTTCCCCTGGTTGATCCATTTTCTTCAGGCTCCCAGATAACTCCTCTTTCCCTCCTATGCTATTTACTTTCTTCCCTTCACATTCTGTTAGCAGCTCAGGAGCTGATCTGAGTCTTGAAAAGCATATCAAGCTGAAAGAGCAATGCCTTCCTCCTTTCATTTTTCTGAGCCCTGAAATGCAGACAGAGAAGAAAAGAAGTGGGAAAGAGTGCCATCCTTTCAACTTCTTCCTTCAGCTCTATGTTCTTTTCAAGGGGGAGGGAAGTAACAAGCCTTCTGCCAACTCAATGAAGGGACAGTGAGCAAAGTAATAATAATAATAATAATAATAATAATAATAATAATAATAATAATAATAATAATAATAATAATTTATTATTTATACCCCGCCCATCTGGCTGAGTCTCCCCAGCTACTCTGGGCGGCTCCCAATCAAATGTTAAAAACAGTACAGCATTAAATATTAAAAACTTCCCTAAACAGGGCTGCCTTTAGATGTCTTTTAAAGATAGAATAGCTGCTTATTTCCTTCACATCTGAAGGAAGGGTGCTCCACAGGGTGGGCGCCACTACCGAGAAGGCCCTCTGCCTGGTTCCCTGTAACCTCACTTCTCGCAATGAGGGAACCGCCAGAAGGCCCTCGGCGCTGGATCTCAGTGTCCGGGCTGAACGATGGGGGTGGAGATGCTCCTTCAGGTATACTGGACCGAGGCCGTTTAGGGCTTTAAAGGTCAGCACCTACACTTTGAATTGTGCTCGAAAACGTACTGGGAGCCAATGCAGATCTCTCAGGACCGGTGTTATGTGGTCCCAGTGGCCACTCCCAATCACCAATCTAGCTGCCGCATTCTGGATTAATTGCAGTTTCCGGGTCACCTTCAAAGGTAGCCCCACTTAGAGTGCATTGCAGTAGTCCAAGCGGGAGATAACCAGAGCATGCACCACTCTGGCAAGACAGTCTGTGGGCAGGTAGGGTCTTAGCCTGTGTACCAGGTGGAGCTGGTAGACAGCTGCCCTGGACACAGAATTAACATGCGCCTCCATGGACAGCTGTGAGTCCAAAATGACTCCCAGGCTGCGCACCTGGTCCTTCAGGAGCACAGCTACCTCATTCAGGACCAGGGAGTCCCCCACACCCGCCCACCCCTGGCCCCCAAAACAGTACTTCTGTCTTGTCAGGATTCAACCTCAATCTGTTAGCCGCTCTCCATCCCCCAACTGCCTCCAAGCACTCACACAGGACCTTCACCGCCTTCACTGGTGTAGAACCTGGAGGCATTGCTCCCAACAAACTGATTTGTAGCCAAGATTACCAATTATGAATTGTTGTAGCAAAACAAACCTTGATCACTGGCTTGGGTGTTACTCTAAGCCAGATGTCATAGTTTGTTTCTGCTTAGTGCAAGTAAGTAGGAGGCAAACATGCTCAAAGTAAATTTTTATTTAATAAATTTCAATACTACCCTTCAAGAATAAAGTTTTCTCATCAGCCTCAAGGGCTGCCCCACATAGAATGCATTGCAATATTCCAGTCTGGTGAAATTACCAACCTTAGTGAAATTAATGGGGATCTTTTTGAAATACTAGGGTTCAGAATTATCACTTGAGTGACTTTCCAAAGTCAGACATAAAGGTTGAGCAATTGAAGGCTTTTGATCTTGTGCATATCTGCATTAGTTTCGGTGAGATTTACTCCCCCAAGTATAAGGGTGCATAGGATTGCAGAACCAGACAACTTTAAATTTAGGTCTCACCATTTCTAAGCTGTATCCCTTGAGTTCTGACCACAGGAACATCTGTAGTGGATATGTAATTCTTTTCATAGATTAATAGTTGTTGATATGCATTCCAATCCTTAATACTTGTACTTTGAAATAATTCAGGAAGCTTAGATTCAGATGTATGAGTAAAATTTAGTACCTTAGTGCCTAAAAACAATATTCTGTTTTTAGTACATATCTGTTTAAGCCAGTGGTTCTCAACCTGTGGGTTCCCAGATGTTGTTGGACTGCAACTCCCATCATCCCTGAGCTCTGGCCTTGCTAGCTAGGGATGATGGGAGTTGTAGTCCAACAACATCTAGGGACCCACAGGTTGAGATAAAATGACTCAGGAACAGTTATTGGTTGAAGTGGTGCTCCTCCTGAATGGTTGATGTGTGCCTGGGTGGACACACACACCCCTTTCCTAGTGTAGGGATGTACCCTGAATTCAAATCAAACACTTCAAGCATGTACCGGTAATCATAAGCTGTTTCACCTAGTTAGGGCTTTTCCTTCCAGCTCTGTGCTGCTGGTGTCAATGCCTGTATTGAGACTGGAGCATGGAGAAAACAAATTCCACACAATGTGTCTGATTGATGTCTGCTGCAGTGGCAGCAGAACTGTTAGGGAACTGCTCAGTATGGGGTTGAGCCAGGACATTTTGCCCCCTTCTGCCTGGTGATGCTTCCCAACTCCATACTTTACAGCACCCTTTCCCAACTTGATGCCTTTCAGACATTTTGGACTACAACTCCAATAGCCATAAGCATAGGCAGCATTTTTTTGGGGGAGTGGGGAGAGACCTTTGTTGGGGGTGCAGAACCAACGTGATTGGTCGGTTAGTTAAGTATTTATATTGTTTTACTTGATGGGGGCAGCTGCCCCTCCCTTGGCTACACCCATGCACCTGGCTAATGGAAGGGATGATAGGAACTGGTAGTCCAAAATATATGGAACACACCATATTGGCAAAGTCTGCCCTACAGAGTGAGACACTGCTGCTGCTGCTGCCGCCAGTGTGTGTCCTGGCCTCTCCCCTGGTTGTTTGTCAACTAGAGTGTCCCATCCCCCCAGTGGGTCTTGAATCCCTGTCCCAGTAAGGGTGTGTGTGTATATGTGCATGTGCTCTTTGCAGATGAAATTGTGTGGGTGCCATGTTGTGTGTCTTCTCCTTCCTATTTATTTTATTATTTATTATTTATTTATGTGGCATAAATATGGCATAAATTTAAAAAAATAATAATCAATAACAACAACAACCCAATAACCCCACCCCCTATTCAACGTGTCATGTGCTAATAAATGAGTGGTGTGAGCATAACAGGATTTGAACTACTTCCTAGAAGAATGCTTGTGGACTGGCAGTAGCAAGGTACAGTGGTACCTCACAAGACGAATGCCTCGCAAGACAAAAAACTCGCTAGACGAAAGGGTTTTTTGTTTTTTGAGCTGCTTCGCAAGACGATTTTCCCTATGGGCTTGCTTCGCAAGACGGAAACGTCTTGCAAGTTTGTTTCCTTTTTCTTAACACCGTTAATACAGTTGCGACTTGACTTCGAGGAGCAACTCATAGAACGCGGTGTGGTAGTCTTTTTTGAGGTTTTTAAAGACTTTGGTGATTTTTGAAGCTTTTCCAAAACTTTCCCGACACCGTGCTTCGCAAGACGAAAAAAATCGCAAGACGACAAAACTCGCGGAACGAATTAATTTCGTCTTGCGAGGCACCACTGTAATTACTAACTGTGCCACTAGGTTTGATGAACTGGGGGCACTGTAGTGTCATCTTGTGTGTGTGGTGATGGGGTTGTCTGCTAGGTGGGTGTCCCATTCATTGACTCCCTGTGTGTCAGATGGGCAGTCTCTGATTGCTGGGTATTGCCTGGGTTTTTCCTGTTCCCCTGTGTCCCCCCCCTTCCCTGAGCATGCTTTATATACCACTGAACACCACCCCAATCTCTGAGTAGTGCGAGATCCAGGGGTTCCGGTCACTTACCCAGGGTTCGGTTTCCTCAGAATGAGGGACAGTGGAGACCATGGTGTCTTTAGGATATATGGTTTATTTACACATATATACATATATACAGCCTTGGATTCCAGCACAAGTCAGGCATGGCTGTGTGTCTCTCAGCTGCCCAGGCTGCTTCCAGCCTCTACCACTTACACACCTCCCTTGCTTTTGTCTTTCTAACTGCCAGACAGTTGAGGGAGGGAGGGAGGGAGGGAGGCCCACTCATTTCTGCTCTGGCACAGAGCCACTTCCTTTGTTACCTTAATGACGCATACTTGCGGGCCATTATCAAGAAACGTGTCTGGCTATTCCAGCAGCAACTGGATCCTTGTTGGATCCAGGAATTAGGAGGGACTCAGACTACAGTCTACTGCTCCCTCTCTGCAAAATCACAACAGATGCAGTGGCTGTTTTGGCAGTGCTATATATATATATATGGAGCACAAAGACACCATCTCTAGTGTTCTTGGCAGTATGCAATACCTTCCTACACTCAAAAATGAAGGGGATTTTGTTGATAAATCAATAAATATTTGCTTTTCAAGTAAGCAAATATAATCATAGCCCTGTCTGGTCCTGAGGACTCTTCCCCAAGCTCTACTCCTTTCCAGCTCTACTTTACACTCTTCTTGAACTGGCTGGAATATATCCTTGAACTCTGATAATGCCTCTAGTTTGTCTAGTTGATGGAAGGGGTGAGTGAGAGTGTGTAAAACTAGCCTAGTGGACAAAGATAAAATTTACATTCATTGTCCCACCCACTTTTGTCTTTGGCGCTACCTACCACTGACACATGGCCCTCGGAAGGGAATGTGGCTCTGTCTGAAAAAAGTTGCCATATCACAAATCACTTGTTAAGCTCCCCTCGATTTCAAGTATGTGGTTTGAGAGAGTTGCTGTTAACTCCTTTCCTGCTGTGATTTTGGAAATATGTTTATAGCAGCTGAATTCTATTTTTATGGAGGCTTTTTTTAAAAAGTCCCATTACATTACAGTACTGTATCCCATTTAAAATATAGCATATGCACTGTCATTCTCTATTACTGTATTTGTTTTGGTATATTGCTGTTGGCCCCCTTGAGAGGACTTGATCCAGAAAGGTGTCTTATAAAAATTTAAGGAAAATAAGCCAAAAGCTCCTGTGGGCTTATGACAACGGTTTCATGGTTATTTGGAGCTTGGCCTTTATTTCTGTAGTCTGCACTAAAGTAATGAGCCCAGAATCAATAGCAAACTCATTGTTTTTAACTACAAACTTTGTATGGTACTTATACTGCCTACCCATCCATCTTTCTTTCCTGTAGGGATACCAGACACTCCATTTAGCAAAGACAGAGATGGCCATGTCAAGCGTCCCATGAATGCATTTATGGTGTGGGCAAGAATTCACCGGCCAGCCTTAGCCAAAGCTAACCCTGCTGCCAATAATGCGGAGATAAGTGTTCAGCTTGGATTGGAGTGGAACAAACTCACAGAAGAGCAAAAGAAACCTTATTATGATGAAGCTCAGAAGATTAAAGAAAAGCACAGAGAAGAATTCCCTGGTATAAAACAGGTTTTGTTATTTTACATGTTTCTCAACATCTGATGGTCTTGATGCAGTACTTTGTGTTATCCAGAAATAGGTTTATGAGTGGGGAAAGGTGGGGTTCAAGGATGATACTTGGAAGGAAATACCAAAAAGAACCAAAAAACCACCACCATGCAGGAACCACAAGGCAGTCTTTCTTAAAGCTTTTGTCACCACCACCCCTTCTGTTTCCATAGTCCAATGGTTTCTTTTCAGGCTCTGAAAGTTTAAAAACTAGTTCAGAAGAGGGAGCTGCTTAAAGGAGCTGTACTCTGTAACAGGGGCGCCGACTTATAAAAAATATTGGGGGGGCCCATACCGGGGTCCTGCCCCGGGAAGTTTTCTAAGTTCCAATGTCAGCGGCGCCCGGCAGAGCAGCTCTCTCAGCCATGGCAGCCTGGCTCTCCCAGCCCCCGGGGGCCGCCCTCCTCCCTCGCGCACCCGCAGCGTTCCCGCCCGGGGAGGCGGCGCCCCCAGGAGAGGCGGCGGCAGCAGCAGCCGCGCGCGGCCCGGGCTCCCCTCGCCGGCCGCGGGAGCCAAGGCGCGCGACGAGGGCAGCCGAGGAAAAGAGCGCGCGGCCCCGTCCCCGCCCTTGCCACTCACCCTTCTGCAGCGGCCCCGCCGCGGCGGCGGCGACTCCCGCAGCGCCTTTTCCGCAAGGCCCGGGTGACGTCACCGGCGGAGGACGTTTCCGCTGCGCGCGCCCAATAATTTTCTTAAATTATTGGGGGAGCGGAGCCCCCCCAATAAAATTTTTGAGGGGGCTCGGGCCCCATCAGGCCCCATGGAGTCGGCGCCTATGCTCTGTAAGTTCTTGTATGCATGGATGTTGCACATGTGCATTTTTACAGCATGAGCCATTGACATTATTTAAGTATTTAAAACTGAGTACAATAGCATATTTATTATAGCAAATGCTACTGGGCCAAGTTCAAGGTGTTGCCATTAGTATATAAAGCCCTTAACAGGATGGGACCAGTTTACTTGCAAGATCACTTTACCCTATATATGCTCAATTGACAGCTTCCACCAGTGGAACTGGCACTGTTACAGGTGCAACATAATACTTGCTCTGCAGTTATAAGAAATTGATCTTTTGATCCAGACATTGGAACTTCCTGCTTATTAACACCAGGCAGGTGCTTTCACTGTACTCTTTTTGGTGTCCTTCCTTTGTTATTACATTAATCAGTTATGAAATAAAATAACCCATTATATTTCAGTGAGCCTACTCTTTTATATTCCCACAGGTTGGGTTTACCAGCCACGACCTGGCAAAAGGAAGCGGTTCCCCTTGACAGTCTCCACAGTATTCTCTGGCACTACTCAGAATATCATTGCTACCAGCCCAATGACAGCCTCCACTGTCTTTACTGGGACATCTCAGAATATTATTACTACAAATCCAACCACCATTTACCCTTTCCGATCTCCCACCTACTCTGTGGTCATACCCAGCGTACAGAACAGCATTGGACACCCAGTCTGTGAGTTCATTCCAATAGTTTATGTGAGTTCATTATACGATAGGAACTACAAAAACCCAATGTCTGTATTCTTGTTGAGAGTATGATTATGTAGGATTATGTAGGAATATTTGATGTTGAGATATGGCCATAGTTTTGCAGTAGCCTTATAAATTCATTTCCGAATTAGATTAGTGAAGTACAGAATGTTTTGTTTATATGCTTGTTTATTTGTTTTAATCATTCTCAAAGCAAAGTTGGGTCATTATTCTTACTAGCAAAACATCTGTTAAGTCTGATGAGAGAAGCAAAAGCGTTTCAGTTCTCTTCTGCCTCACCACTCTCCACCCTCTCATATATCATTGACTTAATGAAGAGTAAGACACCAGGGCATGCTCACTTTTCTAAATCTAGTCCTGCCCCATGTTTCCCCAAAATGAACATGGCTTGAAAGTCTTGAGGAAGGGATAAGGAACCTTCATCACCACTACCACACTGAAGTCTTTCAGGTTCCCTGTTTCCTCCTTCCCTCCTGAGCCCATGTCCCAGTTTTCAGACGCTGCCTTAGAAATATATTGCCCCTCCCCAACACTCTGAAGTTGACTTCAGGAGGGGGAAGAAGAAGCATTATATCCCATTCCCTATGCTCAGTTATGCCAGTGTCTGGAATGAGAATCAGATTTTTCTCCCTTTCAGCTGTATCACATATTGCAACTGTTTCCTTTGGTTTTTTTTAGAACTCTATGGGAACTATTAAAAACCAAGCTAGTCCCTGTCTGCACAGCCCTGTTTGTAGGTCTTTTCCTTGGTCCCATGAGACACTGTTAGGGGAGAAAATGTTGGGGACTTGATTTTATATAAAAGATTCAGTTTTATGCTGATAGAGAATTGAGAGACTTTCCAAAAAGTGCCTGGAAAGTCTTAGCCTTCCATGTTCAATGACAGCACACTGCATACTGGGCATCATTGTGAGGAAAACTTGTAGGAGATTTATAAAGAAAAGACATTTTTAAAAAAATTAACAATCTAAATATTGAATGTCTTAATGTTGCTGATTCATGAAATTGCATCCATAGATGTCTTCGGGTATGAAACTGCAGTAGGTTATGCTAGGGTTGCCATATTTCAAAAAGTGACGATTTGGACATATGGCAACCATAGGTTATGCTATATTAAAGAAAAGCTTAAAAAATGATGAGGGATGATCCAGTGCTATTTCATGAATCATTCTTTCTATAATCACATAGTATAATATTTATAACGTAGTGTTAATGGGACCTTCTCACTTACGGCTAATACTTTCTCTTCTCCAAAGGTGAAGCCCCTTCTACTATCCAGCTGCCAGGTCCTTCTGCTCAGCATCCAGGCCCTATTACGCTGTTCCAGCCAAATGTAGGAAGCACAGCGCCACTGGCTGCCTCAACGGCAAATCTGCCGATTCGTCCAGTGCTTCAACCTCAGCGTTTTGCTGCACCTTCACCAACAGAAGCTCACCGTGTATCTTCAGGAACAAATTGCTCTATAAAGAGACCAACCCAGATTTCTATTGAAAGTGCAAGCAGGAACCCAAATAATACAAGCACCACACATTCCAGATACAGTGTCTCAAATAGTCAACCCCCTAAGGAGTACTCAGGTGTTTCTTCTTGTTCTAGAAATGGACCCATTCCTCAAGCTCCTCCCATCCCCCATCCACACGTTTATCAACCTCCTCCCATCGGTCATCCAGCCACCCTGTTCGGAGCTCCTCCTCGATTTTCATTTCATCATCCTTACTTTTTACCTGGGCCCCATTATTTCCCATCAAGGTAATGCAGCTATTTGTTTGTGTTCTGCAGTAAAGGTGCCTATGTAGACAGACAACCACGGAAGGATTTGCAGACTTCTACAAGGAAAAGATTGAAAAGAACCTGTGTGAATTTCCATGTACAGTCGTACCTTGGAAGTCAAACGGAATCCATTCCAGAAGTCCGTTCAACTTCCAAAATGTTCGAAAACCAAAGCACGGCTTCTGATTGGCTGCAGGAAGCTCCTGCAGCCAATCAGAAGCCATGGAAGCCCCGTTGGACATTTGGCTTCCAAAAATAGTTCGCAAACCGGAACAGTCACTTCCGGGTTTGCGACGTTCAGGAGCCAAAATGTTCGAGAAGTAGGCTGTTCGATTTCCAAGGTACGACTGTATACTCTTCCTTTCTGTCCACCCTTTTCCCCTCTTTCCTCACACATTTATCCTCTATTCATTTCATTCCGCTGAAACATTTCTCATCATACTTTGCAGTGACCAAAGGGCTTTTTAATAAGGGTTTCTTTTTCATTCTTGCTTTTTAAATTTGATCTGTGACCTTGACATTGTTGTTTAAACTTTTCTCCTCAACTCACTTTCCTCCTTTGAAAGGAGAACCTCTCATTCGGGTTCTCTTGACTCTTTGGTCATCTCCAGATGACCTGTTTAATGAGCATTCAGCCTGATATGTTTGTGGGGAAATTAGTCAATATTGCATCAAACAAGTGTTATCGCAGAAGTTTCCAGTCCCTTTTCATGTCACTTTCCTTATCACAAAAGGCCATCATGTTCTGCAACAGTTGGTATTCACCCATGCTTATATCAGCTTAGAAGACCTTGCTCAATGAGCCACTGTCTAAAAGCTAGGATGATGGTTATGAAGAAGGGGGCTTTTTTAGTGGTGGCTTGGATACTGTGTAATGTTCTTATTGAGGTGGTTTATCAATCTTGCTGCTTGCTAGTATATTGTTTGTTTGTTTCAAAAAGCTTCTAGTTAAATTGAATATTTTGCAAAGCTGTTTATTTTGATGTAGTCTTCAGTTTTACTTCACTTTTATACTGATGGTTTGTTTGCTATTTTATGTTATGAAGTGTGGTAGAGGTGTTATGAGGTGTGGTATAGGTCAAAAGTTGGAATCATTCATTACAAAAAAACAGGTCTGTATTAAGAGTTATGGGATGTATGTGGCTACATGGTCCTGCCCCTGGTTGCTTAACTGGACCAGATGACCTTCTGGACCAGAAAAGGGGAACATATGGTCTTCCAGGTGCTGTTGGGCTCCAACTCCCATCATGTGTAACCACTGGCCATGTTGGTTCAGACTGATGAGAGTTGGAGTCCAACAATAGCTGGAGGGGTACAAGTCCCCACCCTGTTCTTGTTGTCTCTTCTAAATTAGATATTCTGTATAATGTACCATGGGCACACATCTTGGCTTTTTGAAACACGGCCATATTATTGTATTCTATTTGCAATTGTGTCCCATGACTAAGGTAATCCCTTTATTATGGCAACTGGTTTCCAGATTTGAATACAAACAAGCTATAATATATCATTCAGTTTTATGATAAAAGCCGTGATGTAACTCATCTTTGTCTTGCTGCAGCACATGTCCATACAGTCGCCCACCATTTGGCTACGGAAACTTCCCCAGCTCCATGCCTGAATGTCTTGGCTTTTATGAAGACCAGTATCAAAAACATGAGGCGATGTTTTCTGCTCTGAATAGAGACTATCCTTTTAGAGAGTATCCTGATGAGCATACACATAGCGAAGACTCCCGTAGCTGCGAGAGCTTAGAAGGGACATCCTATTACAGCAGCCACAGTCAGACTGAAGAAGAATACTTAAATCCTATGCCACAGCTGGACATTGGGGCCCTTGAGAATGTTTTTACTGCAACCCCATCCACACCCTCTAGTGTACAGCAGGTCAATGTGACTGATAGTGATGACGAGGAAGAAGGAAAGGTGTTAAGAGATTTGTAATTTTAAAAACCCAAATGATAGTATCCAGCATAATTTTTTAAAGCATGAAATAAAACATGTTGGTCATATAACACTATTTTAGTGAGTGTGGTCAAGAAGACATAATTGATCCAGGTTTTAAAATTGTTATGATACATTGGAGGTTTTTCAGGGCACTGTACCATCGCAGGAGTTGTACCTTAATAGACCTGATTTCATATACTTTACCTTGTCAGGGTAGGTCATAAGACTGAGCTGTTTGTATTATATGTTTGTGCACCATCTTTCTGTCAAACTTCCAGAATCTGACTGATGCACTTTATTGATGCTGCACAGACACAGCAGTGATCTACCTGCACCATGCATTCAGTTTTACATGCATGCAAAGGAAAGGTGTGACTCATTCATGGAGTCAGGACATAATGCCATCAGTTTTATGTCGATGCAATGCCAGAAGCAGCAGATACATTCACCAGGCTTTTCTAGAGACTTACCCGTCTAATCCTACATGGCAATAGGATCACTCACTTATGGGGGCAGACTTTCCTAACTCAGAACTTTTGTTATTTATGTTCCTAGATGACATAGTGGGATGTTCATTCTAATCTACATATTTATGGAGCAAGTGAAATTCTGTTTATTTTCAGGATTTTAAAATTGCTATCTTTTTAAAGCACTTGTTTCAGAATATATATATATATATATATATATATATATATATGCGCACTGAAAATGGTTACATAGTAGTCTGAAATTCTACAGCCCCTCTTATGATTTTAACTTCCTCCTCGATAAGAGGATTTCATATTTAAAGCCCACATAAATGGGACTGTTGAATGAACAAGTAATGGTGAATCTAGCTGTGTGTTGTATACAAGTGGGCTATGATTCTATACCAGAGTATATTTAACAGTAATATCTCAGGCATACATTTTAAATGTATCTTTTGAAAAATAGATGTAACAGAAGGTAATGTTGCTAAATGTTCATGTTAGAAAACATTTTTATTTTGATATTTTTCTTTGTTTTGGGGGTGGGGTTGATAGTACATTTGTTCCATTTTTGTTACATTAAAATAAAATCACATGAACTGTATGTTGTTAGCTCTATATATTGTGATGAACTATAAATTAAGAATGTCATGATCCTATTGTGTCCATGTAATAATAAGTGAAAACACAGTAACCACTTTAAAGTCTCTTCAGGGATATTTGTTATAAAAGAAAAGATTGGCTGCTTCAAAAGTTTATACATTCTATACATTTATGGGGTGATTTTATTATAAATTTTTAAAAATCGTTTTTAGAATGCGGACAGTACACAACCTTATGATAATATATTTCAAGGTAGCAGTCAGAAATGAAGCAGAAAAACCTAAAAGGAACAAAGAAGTTCATATACTTCACTGGTAATTTTCACTGACAATCATTGGCAGTGTCTCATCAAAATTGTGTACAGTTTGTCCTTTCAATATCTTTATGGTTTATGGTTTTGCTCTATACTTTGGAACTAGCATTTCCAGTACATTGTTCCAACTGTGCTGAATACAGTTAAGGTAGTTGAGGACCAGGCTTATCCATCATGAATGCTGCAACCAGACCCTCAGCTTCCATTGTGAATTCTATGTCAATAGTGCTTTTAAGGGAAAGTCTTATTAATAGCCAAAAGCATGCCCTAGCTCCGAAACAGACTACTGGGTGAAAGATGACCTTCAAGAATTCTTGTGGGCAAATGTGCTATTTCCCACATAACTATGGCTCCAAAGTATAAAACAGCTGTCGGATTGTTCACTCCATCTGCCTTTTCCCATCTGTCCTGCCCCAATCTTTTTTTTCTTTTTAAAACAAATTGCAGTATTGGCTAGCTGGAACCATATATTGGTTGACTGCAGTTTTATTAAATCCAGACTGATGTTTCAGACATAATGCCAAACTATGCTTAGGTGCTATGTGAACGAGCCTGGCTGGACCGTTGGGCTCACACGACCCCCCTCCTCCCTTTGCATGTTTCCATTCCTCCCCACATTTCCTGGTTTGAGGCAAACTGTAGCTTGCCGTTTCACTTGAGCTAGCAAAGCATGGTTTCTGCTATGCAGACCAAGACTGGAAGCCACAGTCCACCCTGGTTTCCACTTTGGGGCAAGTGCAAACTGTAAGCGTTGCTGGTAGGACTATGCTTTGGCTCAAACCAAGAAAGATAGGAGGAAATCACACACAGGGAAGGGAGATGGAGGAAAGAAACTCTGAACTGTGAAAAAGTCACTGCCTTTTCCTTGTTTTCACAGTATTTTGAGATCACATTTGACTCTTTTAAGGACTCAGATCTCATTTCCATCGAATATTTCCCTGCTCCTGTTTAAGAGTTTCATGCAGCAATCTTTCCTAGCTGCATCTGGGCATGCCAGGGATGGAGACTGGAATATTTTGCATGAAAGTAATATGACTGAGGCATGTAGGCAGTGGTGGCTGGTGCCCATTAGAACTCATGGGGCCGAAGGTAGGGAGGCCAGCAGTAGGTGGAGCTAGAGTCAGTGGCAGGCAGAGCCAACTACAGTGGTGCCCCGCAAGACGAATGCCTCACAAGACGGAAAACCCGCTAGACGAAAGGGTTTTCCGTTTCTGAGTTGCTTCGCAAGACGATTTTCCCTATGGGCTTGCTTCGCAAGACGAAAAATGTCTTGCGAGTCTTGCCATTTCCCTCCCGCTCCCCCCCCCTTTTCAAAGCCGCTAAGCCGCTAATAGCCTTTTAGCAGCTTAGCCGCTAATCCTTTAATAGCCGCTAAACCGCTAATAGCGCTAATCCGCTAATAGGATTGCTTCGCAAGACGAAAAAACCGCTAGACGAAGAGAATCGCGGAACGGATTCTTTTCGTCTTGCGAGGCACCACTGTACTAGTTTTGCTGCCTCCCCCCCCCCCCGCTGAATTGTACATGTTTACCACAGATAGCAGTGTTAGGAATGGACACAATATGGTTAAGAAAACCAACAGTGCTTTTCCCCACCCGCTTTCAGCTCTGAAATTACTACCATCTGTCTTCAGCCAAAGTGATGGGGAAAGTTTTAGCAGCTAAATATCTGTGTCCATTGACTTTTAAGGCACACAACCAGTAAAACAACAACAAAATCCTTAGCAACCATATGAAATGCATGCATTGAGCAGCCTTCTCCATTATGACAAACAGTGAAGCGTGATCACATCAAAGCTCTGCCATGCACTTTTAAAGCCAAGGTCTGGTTTGGGGGGAAGGTTAATACTTTCATTCATTGTAATATATATATGCAAATCCAGGAAGTGGGTGACACTGTGGTCTAAACCACTGAGCCTCCTGGGCTTGCCGATCAGAAGGTCAGCAGTTCGAATCCACACAACAGGGTGAGCTCCCGTTGCTCTGTCCCAACTCCTGCCAACTTAGCAGTTTGAAAGCATAACAGTGCGAGTAGATAAATAGGTACCACTGTGGCAGGAAGTGATTTAGTCATGCTGGGCACATGACTAAAAAGCTGTCTGCGGACAAACACCAGCTCCCTCGGCCTGAAAGCGAGATGAGCACCGCACCCCATAGTCTTTGACTGGACTTAACTGTCCAGGGGTCCTTTATCTTTTTACATAGGCAAATTTCATTTGAAAGACTGGCTAAACTCTTACAGATTTTTTTTGTTTTTGTTTTTTGAAATACACAGTATGAAATAGTTTAAATTGGTCTAGGAGTCGAACCTTTTGCTTATTACCTCAGGTTGCTAATGAACAACTCCTATCAGTCTAAGGAAGTTTTTAGAGATTAGGGGCATCCATGTAACTCTGAACTACTTTTTAAAATCAGCAGTAGAGAGTTTAACATTATAGGTAGGATGGTTTTGACTGCTCCTGCACCTATGCTTTTAACAGCAGCCTGATAAACAATTGTTTTAGTTCACAGACGAATATTTCCTGGCTTGAAGTGGTGGGGAAATGTTTACCTGCTAGATTTGTGTGTGTCAGGTTGCAGCTGCAGGCAGAGGAACAGGGCCAGCAAAAATGTTTAAAACAGGGGCAGCTGTTGACTTTTGGGTTTGTGCAGCTGCAATTTTTTAAGCTCCTTCCCTTGCAGACATTAAGCTGCATAGAGTGCTTACAAAGGAAAAAGTACATTTAAACATGTGCAGATGTCACTGTTTTTTCACTGAGAAACATCAACTGTTTTCTGTAACCCATTGGATAGAGGGGAAGACTTCCATGTGGGAGGGCATTAACATATGTTCCAGACAAAGATGAACTCCAGTTACTCAAATTCGGAATTAATTTGCCCATTCAAATTCATGAATATCACTTCACAAGTTTCTGAATCTGTCCATTTTTAGGGGAATGCAAACACACCCATTGGCGAAAGATTTAAGCACCAAAGCTTTGAAAATGCCCAAAAACATTTGTTCCTGGTTGCTCACAATTGTGATCTTAAATCCAAACTCTCAGAAACAAAGAAGCTAATTATTTCAGAGTTTAAATTAGGCCAGCGACCACCAGAAGTTAGTACAATGGTACCGCGGGTTACAGACGTTTCAGGTTACAGACCCCGCTAACCCAGAAATAGTACCTCGGGTTAAGAACTTTGCTTCAGGATGAGAACAGAAATCATGCAGCAACAGCAGGAGGCCCCATTAGCCAAAGTGGTACCTCAGGTTAAGAATAGTTTCAGGTTAAGAACGGACCTCCAGAATGAATTAAGTTCTTAACCCGGGGTACCACTGTATTAGAACCTATTTTTAGCGTCATGGCTCAGGCCTAATATAGGGCTGCCATATGTCTGGATTTTCCTGGACATCTGGTGCTTTTGGGTGTTTCCTAAAAATTTCTTTACTTTTTGAAACATGGCAACCCTAGTATGTGTGGTGTATTTTAGAAAGACTAGAAGCACAGAGCATATGACTTCACTATGGAGATATGAAATATGAAGAAGAAAATGAAATGTTATAAAAAGTATCTTAACTGTGCAGCAATGTGGAGCCATTGGCCCTCCAAATATTGTTGGACTCCACAATACCATCATCCCTTCAGTCAGTTGTAAGGGATTATGGGAGTTCTAGCCCAGAAACATTTGAAAGACCACAGATTCCCCAAACCTGAGCAATTAGGAAAAAATAAATTACGATTTGTTACCATTAGTGCTTATTGTTTGTGTTTATACACCCAAATAGACGTCTACATGCCTCTTATTCACAATTTAACCCTATACATGTTTCCCCAGAAGTAAGGCCCTATACATGTTTCCCCAGAAGTAAGGCCCACTGTATTCAGTGGAGTTACTCCCTAATAAAATTGGGGTTACAACAATAAATATACCATGGTAAAGCAAACAGAAAAGTTACATCTGTAAAACAAGAAATTATAAGATGTCCCATATTTAAAACTATTGAAAACAATTCCAATACACACATTTAAAAACAATTCCACACCATCTGGGTTGTCCTTGTTGAGGCCTGGCCAAGATTCACTGCCCCCGGCTCTGCTTTCTGAGCTCTTTCTTTCACTGCCTTTTTACTTTTCCCATCTGAGAATGCAGCTGCATACCATGTTAACAATGTGATTAGCAACCCCACCATGAGTTTTTAAAAAAGAAAATACCAGACATATTGGTGGTGGTCGAGGTCATAGGGTAGGTAGGTGCAATAGTAATTATCAGCACTGCAGTCAGTGTGCAGGGAGGTGAGGTCTAAGCCTTCCCTCCACAGCTGTGATCTTGGCAAAAATCACCCCTCTCCACACACCAATCAGCATGGGGTGGGGGGTGGGGAGCTGCCTTTGGTGCTCTTTCCAGGCACAGAGAATAATACAGGCAAGCATTATCTTTTATATCTATCTCTTTTTCAGTGTGGATTAGGTTTTTTTGAAACGATGATTTGTTCAACCATCTTTCCTCAAATGAATCCTGGAAATTTAGTATGATATCCATCCAAGCTGTTCTCTGAACCGCTATATTACTTTAGCAGCCATCCTTCTTGGATCCTTTTCAGCCTGTCTTTTTATTAAACCACAATGAATGTAGCTTTCTTTTCTTTTTTGGGGGCCATTCTCAAATAAAGTTTGCAAATACAACCCCCTGTCTGTGTTAGCTAAGAATGCAGTGCTTCTGCGCAGTCACATCCTCTGCCGAGTGCCACATGAGCAGGATACAACAGTACTTAGGCCCTCACACAATGTGGCTAGTTATTGC